GGGACTATAAGTCATCCATGATCCAACGGCTAAGATGCGAACGGAAACTGGAAAGCAAGGTCGTGATCACATTCCAAAGTCATTAATTAATAACTAATTAATTATCATATTCGTTTCTTTCGCTTAGAGGAAAAGGGGACCCACGTGGGCCTCTAATCCAACGGCCACACTTCATGAACACAGTCATAGTCCACACTCCACTCTTCTCAAGTACACCAACAACAGTGGCGTACTATATGTGCCCTCTTTAAGTAACCAAAGTATACGAATAGATCAGAATTCAGAGAAAAACAAAAAAGAAAAAAAACCGCCATGGATCGACAGCAACAGCAAGCGGGAGCTCCAGTGCCGCGGCCTCCGACAGGCGATTCCTCAGCCATTCTCTCAGTGTTCCTCGCTTTCATCGTTATCTCTGCCATTGTACACACTCTCTCTCTCTCTCTCTCTCTCTCTCTGCATTTATCCTTGCGTCAAGCCATTTCGATTGTTTAGTCGATTTTAACTTATTCTCGGAGTTTATGTTTTTGTTTTGTGTGTAATTCATCACATTATGAAGCTTGTGTTGGACTTGTTTTTGGTATGATTTTATGGTCAAGTTAAAGTGTAATTCTGTACCCTCAATTTTTGCCATTTTCTGGGCAGTGTTTATGGGAACAGTGTGATTGAGCCTTGAGAAACTTATAATGGAAACTACTAGTGCTATGTTCCAACGTAGAAATTTTTTCTTGCCCGGACTGAAGTGGAGAGATTTATTTGGTTTACCATGGTGTGAAGGCCTCACTTTGCACTAATGCCTTCAGGAAGTGGTTAGTCCATCAATAATTGGTGAATCATTACTTTCTCAGCTTCAACCTTAGGGTTTCTCGTATATGTCCTTAATGTTTTATCTTTCATAGAACAATTGTTGAGGTGTGCTTTATTATTGGCTGTTACCTTTATCATTTGTTTATGATATGCTAGGTTGATGTTATTGAAGTATCTGAAATTCTTACTAATTGGAATAGCTAATGCCTCTAAATTTAATATATTTACATGATTGAATTCGTAGATATTGATTCCATCAGCGTCAAATATCAAAAGTAGCTTATCCATTTTGCATCAAGTCCCGGAAGGCCATGTTGGGGTATATTGGAGGGGGGGTGCCCTTCTAGATACAGTTACTGGTCCAGGTCTGCTATGCTAATCTCTTCCTTTGTAATTTGCACAAATATAATTGCATATACAGAGCTTATTCTCTGCCCACACCTACTTATTCTGGAATTTCAGGTTTCCATCTGAAGTTGCCTTTGATAACCCAGTATGAGCCCGTTCAAGTGACCCTTCAGACAGATCAGGTAAATATTGTTTTCAATTTATGAGATTGTGAATTTTTGCATGTGCTTGACCCCTTCTTCTGTCTAAAAATGAAGGTGACTGACATTCCTTGTGGGACCAAAGGGGGTGTCATGATCAACTTTGAGAAGATAGAGGTACGACATTTAAAAACTCCATGTAATGATGATGTTCTACTTCACCATGTTTAGATGAATGAACAGTCTAACATCATTGTTCTCTGTTATTTGAGTGTTCTTTTGCAGGTTGTTAATCGGCTTCATAAGGAACGTGTGTATGAGACACTGCGTGACTATGGTGTGCAATATGACAAGACTTGGATATATGACAAGATTCATCATGAGATCAATCAGTTCTGCAGCTCTCATAGTCTTCAACAAGTCTATATTGATGTGTTTGATCAGGCAAGAAAAATTGCATTGTAGCTTTAAGGTGATATATGATAATATGCCTGACATTTTCATTTCACTAAATTCTTCAGCAATAATTTATGTCCTCATAAGATCAGCCTACTTAATCCTCCTACCTGTTTGGTATATAAGGGATCATAAGTTTCAAGGTATGTTAAGCCTAGTGTCTGGTGTTGTTTTCTCTCCACAAGGGAGCAATGCAACTGTGAATGTGAGCGCAGTTGTTGACATCATTAGTAAACCTTGTGATAGTTTTATCTCTATAGCTTTTATCAGCGTGCTTGATGTAAAGACACTATATACCATCACTTACACAGGAATGCACTTGCAAAAAACACATATATGGAAGTGTACTTACCAGTGGCAGCTCTTGGGTGAGACCAACAAGGCAATTTCCCCAGGCCTGAACCTTCTTAAGGCTCCTTTTTATTTCATAAAATATTTATGTTCTATTATAAAAGTCAAAACTTTTATATTGATATCTATTTTCTTTACCATAATGTTCTACGTTAAAGATTATATTTCTCATGGAATGTCAACTATGGTGTCTCCCTAAACTTCTTTCTCTTCTACTAAAAGTTATTGTCTTATACTGTAATTAAAGTTGTCTCTTATTTCAACAAAAAAATAAGCTATTTCTTGAAGATCTAAGAATTGCTATAATTGCAATAAATTTCTGTACTTTATTGCTTTCTACTTTAGTTAATTTCATTTTGTTGTTTGAATCTATAATATACTTAACTTATTAGTACTCATATTCATTAAAATTATTGTTTGTATATTTGAATTTACCTTTTTTAATAATGATACTATGNTGATATCTATTTTCTTTACCATAATGTTCTACATTAAAGATTATATTTCTCATGGAATGTCAACTATGGTGTCTCCCTAAACTTCTTTCTCTCCTACTAAAAGTTATTGTCTTATACTGTAATTAAAGTTGTCTCTTATTTCAACAAAAAAATAAGCTATTTCTTGAAGATCTAAGAATTGCTATAATTGCAATAAATTTCTGTACTTTATTGCTTTCTATTTTAGTTAATTTCATTTTATTGTTTGAATCTATATACTTATTAGTACGCATATTCATTAAAATTATTGTTTGTATATTTGAATTTGCCCTTTTTAATAATGATACTATGAACTTGGATATGAGTTTTTAATAAAAAAACGTTAGAAAGTATAGAAACTTAGAAAAATATATATATTTTTATTAAATTAAAAGAAACTTATTTTAAGATTTTTTGGCTCAGGCTTTATATCTTCATGAAGTGGCTCTGGCATATAATGGATACTTTGATACATACAGTAATCAGTGTGTTTGCTCAATTGTTGTCAAACTTTTAATGCATATTGACAATGATCTGCCTGACTTTTTCAGATTGATGAAAAGATGAAAGATGCTCTTCAGGGTGACTGCACACGCTATGCTCCAGGCATTGAAATTATCAGTGTGCGTGTTACAAAGCCTACTATTCCCGAAAGTATTAGACGAAATTTTGAACAGATGGAAGAGGAACGCACTAAGGTGAATTTGCTAGATCTATAAATCTTTTATGTTTTGCCTTTCTTTGAAATTTGTGTTGTCAATCCATTTTGGAGAAAAAATTTTCTTAAGAGTTTAGTTGATTATACATGATATAGCCAGGACTTACTCTGATGTTACTTTGGGAGTGAGGTCTGTTTTCTGATTTTTGCCATTGAGAACCTTCAGATTCTGTAGTAATTTACTGTACTTTTTTATCACATATTTTAGGGTTCTGACATAAAAGTAACAGAAAAAGGAAATGAGAATTCTATGATTTGAGGTTATTATTTAACCTGGTATTCTTCATCAAACAAATCTATGCATGTTTTGTGGACGTTTAGACTTTTACAACACAAAAGAAGCATTCATGCATGTCTGCTGCTGCACACACATTCATACTAAATAGAGATAGTATTTTTAATATTATCTGGTGTTTTGCATGTTACTTGGGTAGGTATTAATTGCTATTGAGAGTCAGAAAGTAGTGGAGAAAGAGGCAGAGACAAAGAAGAAGATGGCTATCAGTGAAGCTGAAAAGAATTCCAATGTTAGCAAGATCCTTATGGAGCAGAAGTTGATGGAGAAGGACAGTTCCAGGAGGCAGGAAGAAATTGAAAACCAAATGTACTTGGCTCGTCAAAGGAGCTTGTCAGATGCTGATTTCTACCGGTAATATGAACCCTCTTTCTTTCCTATGCTTGAGTGTTAATATAAGAAAATATGATGTTGCAAATATTTAATGGTATTCTTCTATCACTTTTGCAGCTTAACGAAGGAAGCCGAAGCAAACAAGTTGATGCTTACTCCCCAATATCTTGAGCTTAAATTTATTGAGGCCATAGCTGATAATACAAAAATTTTCTTTGGCGACAAGGTTTGTTAACCCTCACGCCCATGCCCTCCTTTGTTTTCAAGTGAGAGAAAACACGTGATCCCAGTTTTTATCTTTGTTTTTGCAGGTACCTAATATGATTTTGGATCAGAGACTGTTAGGAAACTTCCTTAAAGAGGTGTCCAGAAATATATCTATGGAGACGATAGCGGCTTCTTAAATTCTAATATAGTGTATGTTATAATATAAGTAGGCGCAGACACTGTCACAAAACAAGAAGGAGAATATAATGATGTGTTTTCTAAACTACATTTTGTTTTTGGTAGGGAAACATGTCTTTCTAAAGGCAATCACCGTTTTTCTTGGCCACCGGTTGCTGGCGTTGCCAATTTGTTGAACAATTTCACACTGTTGAGTGCTAAACTATGCAATTCCATGTGGGTGTTAATAATGTTATATATGAGTGTTTTTATTCCCATCTTTCTTTAGCAAAAGTTTTGCTGTACTGATATCAATTTCAATTTAGGTTAGAAATCCATGCTATTTATCAACATTTATAGCAGTTTTTTTTTTGAATTACAGAGGATTGATAGTCTTACTGATAAGTTATTATGAAAGCTCAAGTATCAGAATGATTGCTACAGCTTTCCCCGTTAGATTGCCGGCTGTTAAATTGACACACGATGGCAGTTGCCAACCGGCGATGTCGACTGGTTTGAAATTTTGAAAAAAAATTTATTCTCTTAAATGAAAAATTATATTTTATATTTTATATTTTAAAATTAATTATTTTAATTTTTGAAATAAAAATATTTTTTGTTTTTATATAAAATAATAAATATTTAGTTGAAATAGGGTTTTGGGAAGAATGGGATTCCCCCGAAATGAGGGAATATGGATTCCATTTCTGTTTTCACAGTAAACAACTAAACAAGGGAATGGGCATTCCGTTGAGTTATCTGCAAATAAAACATGAGATTATAGGAAAGGAAAGTACTCCCATACTGATTTTGGATGGATGGTATATGGAAATGATGGGCGTAAGTGTCTGAAATTATGATCGATGGAAAGAAATACTTTGTCGATATTCTCAGTTTTCAATTCATTGATATTTTTTTGTTTTCATGGTTGTGTTAGAATAGTGGTGTTGTTTGGCCCGCTTACCAAGGCTGGACATTTTGAACATTAACCACAATCCAGTGACAGGACAGCTAATGCATGCAGCTGCCATTCAACCATTCTACAATAACCATCTTGTCTTTATATATGGCTTGTGTAATTAATTGATGGTGTTAACTGTTACCCAATGAGATCAAGGGTTAAGGTCAAAGTTGAAGCCTTCCTTAACATGATTTTGTTTGTTTAACAGAAGTCAAACCATGGTTATATCAGCTTTATTCCAATTTGACTTATGATAAATTGTCTGACAAATTTCCACCACTACAATAAGGGATTTCATCTTGGGGACTGGAAAAAAAAATCAAAGGTTTTATATTAGAGTTACCCACTTTCTTTTCCACCCAAATAATAGGCTAATGATAGTCTAATGATATTTGTCATCTCATCTATTGATTTTTAAAATACTATTTTTCTATTCAAATTTATACTACAACGAACAAAGAACAAACTCAATTTAGACTATTGAAACTTTTAAATAGGAGAGGTCGATGAGTCTTCTAATTGTGAAAGGTTGGATTTTGATAGTTAAAAATGATCGAAATTTGATTTGAAAGAGACAATTACACAAGCCCTAATTGCTTGATTACTGACGATTGATGAGGTCGACGAGAGTAGAATTTAAGGAGTTTTTATAAGTAATAATCAGGGAATGGAATAGTGGTGGTGTGGAGTTGGAACAATGCAAAAATCGAAAACAAAATATAAATTTAGATAATAAAATGATATTTTAAAAGTATGTGGGTGAGAAAATGTCCGTGGAAAAAAGTCTTTTACTCTTTATATTAGATGTAATTCTAGAAAATATTGCAAGCTTTCTATTGTGGTATTTACAAAACTTCAGATCCTCTCTTGGATGAGAGCTTTCGTGAATTCTGGAAAGTTTCGCATTAGATATCTGTGAAAGGGGAATGGTTGGAACTACTAAACCAGGTGGCACTAAATATTTAGTGTTGAATGTCTCTGATTCCTTCTTTCTCTGCCCATTGACGCCTGCTCATGCCACCAATTTCATAGCTGTTTCCTTCAATAATTCTTTCCTTTCAAACAATCTATACCTTTTAAATTATTGGTCTTGTTAGTGTTTATTTGTCTTATCCTTGACTTACAAATCTACACTTTTCCCATTATTTACAAATGTCCTTTACACTACCAATTTTTTTAGTCTACATGAAAATTGCACATTTAATTTTATAATATACCTTGAGGATTCCTCTATATGGACTATTTTACTAATAATTTGACTAATCCCATCTTTACCATATAAAAATGTAATGGGAAATGGTTTTATTTTTTCAAATTTTATGCCAATCCAATGAAATGTTCAGTAAGTTGAGTTGTTATCCATATTCACTTTATCTTGAAAAGTCTTTTGAGTGCCGCATTTGGCATTCTGTCTAAGCAGATATTTATTATTTAATACTTTATCTGTCATGCGTCCAAAATCGAGGTAATGATGCTGACTTGAATTTCTCACGTTACATTGACCGAGAGTACTCATCCTTACTAAGGGCAAACCATTTTTTTCCATCCAAATAATGGTATAATGATTCTTTTACACTCAAAAAATTTTAAAATACTATTTTATTATCCAAAACATAATTTCATTATAAAATTTTATTGTGAAGAAAGACAAAATGGTCATAATTCCATTATAAAGGCAAGATGGTTAATTCATATTGATCGACAAAGGAGGGCAACGACTGCTAGTGGGTAATTAGGGCCAAAAGGGTTAGGGGTTTTGGAGTAGGGACGTCGATGATGCGAAAGGTGGTGGCTGGGATAGTTTCCAGTGAGGCAATCGGCGGAAATTGTACTAGGAAGAGGCGGTGTTTGCACAAAAACCTATTAGCTAGGTGGCGACAACGATGGTTAATTGGGTTTGGAGATTTTGGGGGTTTTGTTAGAGTAATGCTGGTGAGTCAAATGGTGTGGTCGAAGAGGGTTGCCTTGCCGGATTCGATCGAATAGCTTGAAAACGCGCTGGCCAAAGGAAGTGCAGTGGCCAACGATTGGTGGAGTAGTTGGGTGTTGGGTGAAGAGGGTTTAAATATGTTAACAAAGGGGAGTAATATGGTGGGGTTGGGGTTGACGTGCGCATTGGAATACGATCGTTTGTTGGTGTCGTTTGGATTAGGATTTTGCCGCTTCCAGTCGAATCTAGTGTCCAAAATCCAATCCTTCAACATCCCTTGGTTCACTGAGACATCGACCCCTACCCTACAAAACCCCCACCACCCCGCCGTTCACTTGCTTGCTGTTCATTGTCTAAGTGGCACTGTCGTTGCCATTGGTATTTTCATCAAATAGTAAAAAGTATTTTTGTTTTCATAATGAATATCATTGTATTTAACATAAACTATTAACGAAATATAATATTTGAGTAGTAAAATGATATTTTGAAATTTTTTAGTGTGAGAAAGGGTGATTAAGTTATTATTTGGGTGGGAAAAAGTTGTTTGCTGACTCTACTTACTAACCCAACAAGCCAGAAAAGTAAAAGAACCACCACAAAAGGACAGTGGAAATTTCCGAGACGACACAACTTCCCATTCAAAACTTTATTTTTCAAACTAGTGATTTAAACGCTTTAATTTCTCATGTCACATTGACCCAAAAAGCAAAAATTTGTATAATAACAACCGCGGTCCTTACAAGCTACAGCCTTACATTTCGTGCGAATCTTGAATTGTATTTATTTTATAAATGAAGTGCCCCTCTCAATGTGAAGGAATCCCCCATTGAGATTCCAACAGGTAAGCGAATCATGTTCCGTATAGAATTTTCTAACCATTAGTGGAACCGCTTAAAGTTGGTTACCTTTCTCTCTCAAGTCTTGAGTTTATGTCTTAACATTTTCATGTTCTTAAAATAATTCTCTCTTTAATGTTTTGCACACATGTCAGTAGCTTGAGATTTGTTTTTTTTTTTGAAGATTCCAAGTTTTCTGGTGGCAAGTAATCCAAGGTTGTGATTGTGCCCTTTGGCCAACGTGGGTCTCTTCTCTCCTCAACACTTTGTTTTATAGCATTCTTTTGACTGTCCGGTGATCTATGTTTCCTTCCTGACATTTTTTGTTCAATTTTTTTTTTTTTTTTAAACGATGTAAAAGAGTGAAATTCACTATCAGTTTTCATTCTGATATATGTTTTCATTATGGCTTTTTTAAGTTCTTAGACGGTTTAAACTTTTGGTTGTTTCATTCTTTTTCATTTCTTTCTCTTTTTGGCGATATGGTGAGTGTTTGTTGTTCCTTGATTGATGGGTTGACTTTTTATTTTGATTCAATTTACTCTCTTAAATGCCTTTTTAATTGCAGATTCTTTATGCTTTCCTGTATTATAATTATTTTTCTGGGACCTTTTTTCTTGCCTGATTTTTAGACTAAAGTGACTGAATGTTCTGATTATCTCTCTTCGTGTTCTCCTGATGTGTGACCCTTGATTTGACCGAGTTGGTCACAACTTGCTTTGATAAATCTAATTTCAGGGCACCTAACGAGAGCCTTAAACATTTGATGATGGTTCCTTTTCAATGGGTTTGTTCCATTTCACATCGTTCATGAATGAGCAAAAATAGTTGTTTTATTTCGGTAGTGGGTTAGTAATCTAGTGAAGATGCTAAATTTGGCCTAATTGAAGGTCTAATGGATAAGAGAAAACTCAATTTTGGTACTTTTTTGCAGGATTTTTCGGGTATTCTAACATTGATAGCTCTACCAAGTGAGAGGAGTATCTCAAGTGGGTTGATAATGTATCTAGTAGAAAGCAAAGGAGGTGCCATAGTGTGCATGCTTCTTTCCCTGTTCTTCTTGGGTACTTGGCCTGCTGTTTTGACTCTTTTAGAGAGACGAGGTCGCCTTCCTCAGCATACTTACCTTGATTATACGATGACAAATTTCTTGGCTGCTGTTATTATAGCGTTGACATTTGGTGAGATTGGCAGTGAAAGACCCAATTTTTTTTCTCAAGTTTCTCAACTAAAGGTTAGTTTCCTTTTAAATAGATGTTGGTGTTTAGCATGCAGAAAATTTTGTTAAACATCTATTCAAAGAAAAATAGATTCTTTACAAAAGCGAAGTAAAACAAAATAAAACAGACAACTTTAATTCTGCTATGCTGTTGAAATTGTGGAAAGTTTTTAATTTTCCAGAATAATTGTGTGGATCAGTACAGTAACTCTAGATGTTCTTAATAATTCACTGCAAGAGTAACTATTAAAAAACACGATAGATGTCACTGATAAATGCGGTAGCCTAACAGTCAGTGTGTCTTTTTTTTGTGGTGAATCTACTGGAATCAATATGAAATCTGATAAGACTCCCTGTCAATATAGTCTATAAGTCAAGGGGCAGCACTAAGGGGAAAGGGGTGTGAGTGTGGGTGGTTACAGCAAGGGAAAAGAGTGTGTGAAGTTTGTTACGGGATTCTCATGCATGTGGCTGGATAGAATAAAGTTGTTAGGGAAGGGTAGTATGGGAAGTAATTGGGTATAAATAGCTAGGGTGTGCTAAGGGAGGTATCAGGTTGATTCATATAGGTTTTGTGGGAGGTCTCCAGCTCCTAATTGCTAGAAGTTGTCTGGAATCACTTTTCTTGCTACTGTTATTTACTTCTGCTTCAATATTAATGTTCAGTTTAATTCCTTTGAGTGTTGTTTCCATACAGTTCTTTTGTGTGTGTGTTGGAATTGAGTTATTTGAGCAGGTGGTTCCATTCAAATCAAATCCTGAAAATAGAACAACCCACTTTTTTTTTTATTATTATTTTTTTTTAATACTTTCGGTTTCGATACATTTGCAACCGGGAAATTTTACTGTAGCAATCGCTATTCCAGAACAATTAGCCGATTTAGATTTGTGAATGGTTATAGATTATTCGTTGGTAGAATGGAAAGAATTAGGAGAAGGACTGATGAAGTGTCTTCATCTACCGAGTTGGTTACTTAAATTTGTTCAATCTGCTAGAAGTGGCCATTGTGATGTGTATTGCTTGCTATTTTGATTGTTCAAGTTGTTGATGTTATATGCCATGCATCTCATCTGCAATGGCATTAACTGGTTTTTGAATACTTTAGGGTGATTGATGCAGGATAACTGGCCTTCTGTTTTGTTTGCAATGTTGGGTGGGGTGTTTCTCAGCATTGGAAATTTATCCACACAGTATGCTTGGGCTTTTGTTGGTTTATCTGTAACAGAAGTGATCACTTCAAGCATTACAGTCGTTATAGGTCTGAGTTTGGATGTCTTTTTGAAATAAGTTTGTTTCTGGATGCTATTTAAGGTTACTATTTGTTCCTGAATTATTGACTTTGTTTTCAATTTTGACAGGCACAACATTTAATTACTTCTTAGATGACAAAATCAATAGAGCCGAAATCCTTTTCCCAGGTGTCGGTTGCTTTTTAATTGCAGTTTGTCTTGGGTCAGCCGTACACTCATCCAACGCTGCTGATAATAAAGCAAAACTTAGAAGTTTACCCAGTGCTCACAAACCTTCGACAGAGTATGCCTCTAGCTCCTGCCTATATACAATTGAACATGTGATGTTTATGTACTGAGTATGCATTTTATAAATTGAGGCATTTTTTTAACTCTAGTTAGCTACTGGATCTTCTGCCCAGCTTGGTTAATAATGTGTCCCCCTTTCTTCTTGGTTAATCAGGGCCACTTATACCTCCATAGCCACAGAAACATTGCCAGAGAAGGGTAATACACTCTCTTCAAGTGGAATGTTGTAACCTTTTATTTATTTATGTGTATCGCATTACAGCTCCAGCCTTATTTTATATGGACAGGAACAAAGGATCCAGAGTCTGCAAGTGGTAGTGTTGGGAAGGCAAAAGCTGGGACTGCACACTATCTTGTAGAACTTGAGAATAGAAGAGCGATTAAAGTTTGTAGTTCCACTTCGTCGTTGTTGTTCTTAACTCCATTAGACACATTTTATATCACTTCTCACACTAATGCCAATTATCTCTGTTCAAAACAATTGGTTTCACTCTGTTTTCAGGTGTTTGGGAAGAGCACTTTGATTGGATTGACCATAACCTTCTTTGCTGGTTTCTGCTTTTCTCTTTTCTCACCAGCATTTAATTTGGCAACTAATGATCAATGGCACACTTTGAAGAAAGGGGTTGATAAGTTGGTTGTCTACACTGCATTTTTCTACTTCTCTGTATCTTGTTTCGTCATAGCCATCATTTTAAATATCATCTTCCTTTACCGCCCTGTACTTGACCTACCCAGATCATCATTTAAGGCTTATCTGAATGACTGGAATGGCAGAGGCTGGGCCTTTTTGGCTGGCCTCCTGTGTGGGTTTGGAAATGGTCTTCAATTTATGGGAGGTCAAGCTGCGGGGTATGCAGCAGCAGATGCCGTTCAGGTGAGTTTTAATGCATGCAAGAAATTTACTGATACACATTATATGTACCTACATTCGTAATATGATGCATTGTGTATGGTTCCTATTCCTCAGTACCTATGCTAATAAAAATTTCGGGTTTGTGACGTCAGGCACTTCCGCTTGTAAGTACATTCTGGGGTGTACTACTGTTTGGGGAGTACCGGAAATCATCACGGAGAACATATATATTGCTAGTCAGTATGTTGTTTATGTTTATTGTTGCAGTTGGGGTTCTCATGGCATCATCAGGGCACCGAAAATGAGCATGCAGCTGCAAAGTTGTCTGGAATTTGTGTAGACCATAAATCATCAAAATATTTAAGAAGGTAATAATGATCCAGTAATTACTGCAGCTTGTTTGTTGTCTGAGGCAAACATGTGGAGCTGCTCTACAAAATTCTTAGAATTCCACTTTGTAATTGGCAGAAGTAATGCCAATAGGATAGCATTTGGTTGTAGTATTGAAGTAATTGTTGAATAAATGCAAAAGTTGAAGTAAAAAAATGCGCATCCAGGGAATCGAACCCTGGTCAGTACCGTGGGAGGGTACTATGATACCACTACACCAGATGCGCTATTTATTAATTATTCTATGTCCTTAAATTTATTAGTTGAAAATAAAACACTGAATCTACTATCACAAAGAGGGTGTATAATAATTTTTGAGTTCCTTATTATGGACGGCTTGATCTGATGGAGATTAATAACCCATGTTAGATAATATGAAAATTCCATTACGCTTGACATAATGATGGCTTCCATTTTCGTATAGTGACTAGTTCAGTGTACACATATTTCTACTCATTGGAGAATAAATCAATAAAACAACAATAAAAGGGCACAATCTCTGGTTCCTCAATCACTTGTAGTTTATAAAGTGCATGGAAGATAAACCTCTCATCCCCGCAAATTGGTCTCTGTCGAAATTGCTCAAATGGAACATCCTTAAATTTCAGTTCTTCCCACCATTTTGATGCGACAGATTTGTGAATTGTGATTACCTAGTCAATCTTTTTATCTGCTTGTCCATACTTCCAATTTGCCCTCCAAATGATAGAAGGAGAAAGAAGACGTTCAGTTTTCCAACCTGATGATTTTAGCTGCAAAAATATTTAATGTATTAGAACGGCTGAGACTTGAACCAGAAACGTTATAAACAAAATGCTGCCTTCAAAACAAAAGTGAATTACACCATTGATCACTATGCATTCAAAGAAAAGTTTCTCATACTTCCAGCACTTGGGATAACTCTTTACACAGTGATCATGACAAACAGGCATCTATTGCAAGGCCCACCTATATGACAAGATCAGGAGGTTCTCCCATACAGACTGCGCTTTTCTAGCGATAACATTTCATTAAAAAGTGTACTGCAATAATTCATCACTTCTTTCTAAAAGTAATTCAATGACTCTAGGAAGCTCCAAATATATAGGAATTTAGCAGATTAATGGTAGTGATTAAATCTTTTAATAGTACTTTTCTTAGCTATCATTGTCGGAAATAAACCATACTATTGGAGCATGAAATTATAAATGACAAGCATTAGAGATTGCTGAAGAAATGATAAGGTATTACCTTCTGAATAAAACCTTCATAATGCTTATCCATCCATGATTGACTCTCTGAATGTATAGTATTGTTACCTTTATTAAGGTTTGCCATAACCAGTGCATGAGTGTATGAATACAATACTTCTGCAGCCGTTGAATCTCTATGCACAATGACACCTATGATTCCCTTCCTCTCCAGTAACAAGTATTTTGCTAAAAAAGACCACAAAAAATTACTTGAAATTAATAATTTTCTAGAAAATATTCATTAGTTGAGGGAACTATGTCAAGCTCAACCTTTTGTGTAAAAAGATCCAGCAGAATGCAGCAGGTCCATCCTGTTAGATTAATATCATTGAAATCATCAGTTTAACATGTCACTAACTTGTTTAGTTTAGTAATAGCCAGTGTGGAGCTGTCTGTGTTGTGGATGCACAAAAAACTAAGCCATTCTTGGTTCATAGTCAGGTGGATCCCAAAGTATATGTTGGAAAAGCACCACTAAACATTACTGTTCATTAGAAAAATGCATAACCAGATGCAGAGGAACCATTTATTTGAAGGACCCTAATGTAAGCTTACAAGTCAAATGAAGTAAAAGAACTCACATTTCTTGGTGATCAAGGGAAGAAACCCTTAAACCTATGTCTACCCGCTTGTGCAGTAACTTAGAATTCTTTGAACTACATGAAGTGATCCATATGGGCAAAACATGCTCCACTGTAGAGACCTGCTCCGGAGAGAGAACTGGGGAACATTCAGGTTTAACCATTAACATCTGAATAAGATAAAATAAAGAAATGGACAATAAACCTTAAGATCAGCAAACAAATTTTGTGGTTTACAAATAACTGCACAAGTACTTTTGCAAAGCCCAGACCTTTTCAAGGAACAGATTCTATTGAACTAATAGAATTGAACCAATTTTTGTCAGACAAACATTTGACAGAATCTATTTGTGGTAACACTTGGAATAATATGAGGATCTAGTTCTAACAATAAGTTGCTCTTGAGGTATTTAATGAAATTAAATTTGCCCTCATGGAAAGTAAATAACTAAAATAACAAGTCCTATCACCTTGTTCAGTCTCCATGAAATGCTGAAGAAGAATTGACATCCTCTGAAAGTTTAACGAATTCAACGCAAGGCAACGTACAGCCTTGTAGTTTGCTGCATACAGGAAAATAGTTATTGGTTTATTTCAAATAAAATTATGAATTAAGTTTTCTTTTCCAATATGAATACGAATATTCTGTCCTTGAAAATGGTGAAGGTCATGAATACTGCTCTAAGTCATCTCAACAAATTAATGTAGTATTGACTTAAACATTCAAATATCATGTTGACCCCTAGAATTTACATACCAGGTTTAATGATTACATAAAGTTTCTATGCCGATCATAGCAGCAGAACTTACCATACATATGGAACATAGTGAGAGAAAGAAAACAAAACCAAATAGCTAATGCGTTCCCTATTGTTATACGTGCAAGAAGCATTCCAAATGCCATGCCAATCATCGTGGCCATTGTCTCTTGACTCCCTTCCTATCAGTATTTAAGAAGAAGTAAATGGTCAATATTACATGAATCGGTGGTACTCATGCAGACACGAGAATGGTGGTCTTGGCACCTTGGCAGATATATCGGCAGCATTATTCTGGAGGGCGAAATGCTGTGTCAGAGCAGCTCTAGTAGCTCCACTTGCAACACCAGCTAATTGGACATACGATAGAAAGAGATTGAATTGAGAAAGCCAGGTCAAGGCTATTTTAACATGTTTTATCATGAAGTTAATACAGAACGAATATATATAAGAAACATGCAAAAAGGTATACAAATATTACTATGGTTCATAACACATACTCCATTGAAAGCTTTGATAACTTAACAGATGCATATACAGTAATGCAACAGCAATAAAGTAATACATTGTATTCCCAATCTACATATACCAAGAAAGATGTAATACCTCAACAAGATAATTGCCTGGTCAATAAATTTAGACAAATCTATCAGAGGTGTTAGCTAATCATACTATCCATCTTCTACATTAGGAGAAACAGACTTACTAAATGATCTTGATAAGCTCCCTAAGCAAACAACAAATACAAAAGCTGAAGGAAACAAAGGGGAAAGAAGGTCCATCAACATCCCTGCAATCAATATAACATCCTTTCTTGTCAATTAATATATTCAATAATGTCAAAATACAAAAAAGCCTAATGAATTGTGTGCAAGTGTATATAACTGAACCACAGACTATGGGAAATGGAAAAAGTTAAAACAGAATGTTAAGATTAATATCTATTTTGACATTGGCATGAAGACTAAGACTTCAGTCATTCAGAAGCAAATTTTTCATACCATTCAATTGATAATAAATACATCCTTTTTTTCTGCATAGCAGAATTTCAACCTAAAATCTACACCAACCATGATAGACTTTTTAAAATCTGAGTAAAAGCCCATGGGCAATTATGACATTATAAAATCTTATACAATTAACAGTTCTAATTAGATGTGATTAGCCAAATGTATCATTTTCCTCAACATTTGACAGACATTAATTTAATATAAATGATAAAATTCACATAAAGAGCCTAAAAACTAGTCAAAGGAATAACATAGAGAGTTATGATACATGGGTCCAACATGCTGTAATTCCCATGGCAGTAGGAAATGCCCAGTATTTTATATCATAAAGAAAAAATCGGATTCTAATAAGAAAAATTGAATCAAGGCTCATGAATGTGCTTGTGCCAGCATTGGTTTGAGTTAATGCCCACATGCTTGAGCGCTGTGTCTGTGAGTGTGAGAGAGAGAGATTGAAAACAATTTTCTAGAATCAATATCTTGAAATACAATCGTTAATATACAAAACAACCGCATACCAAGATCATTCATAAGATCTGCAACCAGACGCCACATTTTAGCATTGCTATCCAGATTTGAGCCCTAAAAGGATTATATGGTGTCACAATCTCGTAGTAAATTCATAATGTCCGTTCAAAAGGAAGTGAATGCAAATTACCCAACTCGCACACCAGCAAGAATGTGACACTCCATGACATGATTTAAACAAAAATTTCCAAAATTACATCTGCTGCCAATTACAGATTCTCAAATTTGTGGCAGATATGAAGTCAAAAGACAATTATGTAAGTACAGTGCATCACACCTGATAAAATGTGAATAAGACACCTCCAAGCATTCCAGTTAGATCCCTCAAAAACCACTGCAACAATTTCAATAAAGATGGTGAATATATCATATATATTTCCAAGCAGCCATTGTACGAGGAAATTTAAATGAAGTGTAACTAGGAAAAAGCAATTGCAGTACAAACTAAAATATGTTTCTAATAAAAATAATTTATGTTGTATTCAAAACTTTACCTGAAATGTTGCACCAAGAACAGTAGCCGACTTCTCACCAACACCAATGGCACTCAAGAGAGCCTAACACAATTTCGCACCATGGCAGAGTGGTTATCAAAACATGTTGTGTAATCTATTGGAGAAAAAGCAAAAAGCATTGAATATCAAATAACTTGAACTTACCTGCGTAGAAAGCATGATCCTAATGTATGTAGAAAGACCCTATGGAAATAAACAAAACAAGAAACTATGAAAAGCCAATACACATGTATTTTAGTAAAGATATATCTTGCAATATATGTATATAATTTACCTGCAAAGAATCCCATACTTGAAATGGCACATAATCCGGAGTCACACTGCCTGGAAAACCCTGCAGTTTAAAAAACAAAACAAAAACAAATGTTTGGTTCCACTAGTAATAGGCATTTATCGTCCTCTGAGATTTAGTGCAATTACCGGCGGCTGAATCTAGTTGGGAAGTACATGTAAAACCTAGACCATGGTCAATGTATAATTGATAAAAATAATAATAATAATTTGGATGAAAATTGAAAAAGCGTGCCTCAGGTACAAAGGCTTGGAGAAGTCGTCTCCAGATATGGTTGAAACGGCTACCGGATCTGCGTAGCAAAGAGATTTAATAAAGGAAAAGAAATGAGAAATGAAAACAGAAATGAAATAGAGAGATTGGAGACCTATGAATGGAGAGAGAAGGAGAGGCAGAGATAGTAGCAGTTTTGAAGAGCTTTGTTGAAGAAGAGCCATTCCATTCTTCGATTATCAGATGCTGTGACTGTGACTGCGAGGTCGTTGTTACTTCACCTATTAAGCCCATCAAATCAATTCAAAAGGAAACAGCTTCAGTTGCAGCGCAAGTGCAAGAGGCTTTGGTCGTTTTGATTTGCCTCTTATAACTGACAATGGGTGTTTGTTTGTGTACCTTTTTTTTTCTTTTTTGCAAGTTGTAACTGAAAAAAAAAAGAAATTTAAATGAACAGAAAACTCTGAACGCTAGAAGGAGGGCTTGAACCTCCGACCTTGTGGTTAACAGCCACACGCTCTAACCAACTGAGCTATTCCAGCTTGATGATGACCTTAATCAGAAATATTTAACTTCAACTATAAAAAAGAGTAATAGTTGAATTTCCTATGACCGATCATGGAAGGAAGAGTGAGCGCAAGCAGCAAGATTGATTGTTGAACGAACAAAGAATGTTCTTGCATATACGAAGAAGACTTTTCTCTTCCTCATCTACACCTGAAATTCCATCTCTTTACTCTTTCCTTCAACCCTCCATCTTTGCCCTTAAACCCAAACTCCAATCACAAAACCCTACCAACTCACTAATCCAGCAACAACAACAGCAACAGCAACAAACCCTAACTCAAGACCACATCACTGAACTAGAAACCTCTCTTCAGAAATCCCTCCTCACCCACAACACTGATGAGGCCTGGAAGTCCTTTAAGTCCCTCACCAACAACTCTTTACTCCCAACTAAACCCCTCACCAACTCTCTCATTTCTCACCTTTCCTCTCTCCGAGACACTCTCAACCTCAAGAGGGCGTTTGCCTCTGCTGTTTATCTCATTGAAAAGAACCCCAATTTCTTAGATTTTCAAACGGTGCATACCCTTTTGGGTTCCATGAAATCTGCCAACACTTCTGCCCCTGCTTTTGCTTTACTCAAGTGTATGTTTAAGAACAGGTATTTTATGCCTTTTGAACTGTGGGGTCATTTTCTTGTTGATATTTGTAGAAAGAATGGTAATTTTGTTGGTTTTTTGAGGGTTTTCGAAGAATGTTGTAGGGTTGCTTTGGACGAAAAGTTGGATCTTATGAAGCCTGATTTAGATGCTTGTAATGCTGCATTAGAGGGGTGTTGTTGTGGTCTTCAATCAGTTAGTGATGCTGAGAAAGTTATAGAAACTATGTCAGTTTTAGGTGTTAGGCCAGATGAATTGAGTTTCGGTTTTCTTGCTTATTTATATGCATTAAAAGGGCTGCAAGAGAAGATAAATGAGTTAGAGAAATTGATGGGCGGGTTTGGTTTCTCAAACAAAATGGTCTTCTATTGTCGTTTGATTAATGGATATGTTAAGGCAGGTAATTTAGAGTCTGTTTCAAGGACTATCTTGCGTAGTTTGAGTGAAGGAACTGGAGAAGGTTCAAATTTTGGGGAAGAAACTTACTGCGAAGTGGTTAAAGTATTTCTTCAAAAAGGAAATATTAAGAAATTAACAAATCTGATTATTGAAGCTCAAAAATTGGAGTCTTCAGGGCTGGTTGTGGATAGGTCAATTGGCTTTGGTATTGTTAATGCTTGTGTTAATCTTGGATTATCAGATAAGGCACATAGCATTCTTGATGAAATGAATGCTCAGGGTTGTTTTGTTGGGCTTGGAATTTATGTGCCAATTCTGAAAGCTTATTGCAAAGAGCATCGAACAGCTGAAGCTACTCAACTAGTCATAGATATTAGTAGTTCAGGGCTTCAATTAGATGTTGGTAGCTACGATGCTCTGATAGAAGCTTCTATGACCAGTCAAGATTTCCAATCAGCTTTTTCTTTATTTAGGGACATGAGAGAAGCAAGAATATCTGACTTAAAGGGGGGTTACCTCACTATAATGACAGGTTTGATGGAGAATCATCGACCCGAGTTAATGGCAGCATTTTTGGATGAAGTTGTTGAAGACCCTCGAGTCGAAGTGAAGTCTCATGATTGGAATTCAATTATTCATGCCTTTTGTAAAGCCGGGCGGTTGGAAGATGCTAAGAGAACTTTCAGAAGGATGATATTCCTGCAGTTTGAGCCTAATGGTCAAACTTATTTGTCCTTGATTAATGGTTATATGACTGCTGAGAATTATTTCAGTGTTCTGATGCTGTGGAATGAGGTTAAGCGAATGATTTCCACTGATGGAGGGAAGGGGGTGAAATTTGATCACAATCTGGTTGATGCATTTCTGTTTGCTTTTGTTAAAGGGGGTTTCTTTGATGCAGTGATGCAAGTTGTGGAAAAATCTCAAGAAATGAAGATTTTTGTGGATAAGTGGAAGTACAAGCAAGCGTTTATGGAGAACCATAAAAAGCTCAAAGTGGCAAAATTGAGAAAGAGGAACTTCCGGAAAATGGAAGCTCTCATTGCTTTCAAGAATTGGGCGGGTCTTAATGCATGAATTGTAAGTCTAAAAATTGTGTTCACATCTCTTTCAAAACTCAGCTTTCCTAAGTCATAGACATGAGTAACAGTTTAATACTTTGCTACTTGGGCTTAATAGTGGCTGCCTTATGGGATGCTGTTGGACAGTTAAAACTGGAAGTGAAGGTATACAATCATCAGGCAGTAGGAACTATTTCAAAGTTTGATCTGCTAAGAGTATAAGTTGTGCAAGCACCTGATATATACTTTGTTGACAAAGGTTTTTGCTTAGGATACCCAAATTAGTGTTTGCTGGGCATTATCGAACGACCTGAGGAATCTTTGAAAAACTGAAACTCTTATTTCTCTGTTGGGATCATGTGATCCGATGAGTCTGGGCTTCTGCCAACCTTACAGCCCTCAGAGGGTTTCTTATATGTGACACGGTGACACTGGGAAAGAGTCATTATCATTGCAAATCAGAATGGTTTTGAGTTTGATAGGCTAAATATTAATCAAGTTTTGTCTGCAGACTTGAAGCTTTAGGCATTACTGATAGAGGACTTCAGCTGGAAAATTGAGTTCAGGGGGCTCAGTTTGGATTTCTTTTGAGTTGTCAACTTTCTCTTGAAAGTTGCAGGTAGCTATTATCCTGTAACGAAGAAGAATGCTGCCCTACATAAAATGATAAACCTGCAATATTACTTCTACATCTGGAGAAATACTTACATCTGTAATTTTTCATAATGAAATGTGTAAATTTATTATCTCTTTGGCAAACAATAATAGAAGATTCATGTTACACTGTATGCAGTTTGAATTGCTACTGTGATTGCCTGTTGATTTGATCTGTTACTTTTAGATCAATAAGAAGCTATTTCTAGTTGGAATTGCTGTGGATGTAGTCGAATGATAATAGTTCTATTTACATACATAATTCGCTTGTTTGTCCATAAGCTACTCCTAGCTAACCTAACTTTTTGCGTGTTAAGTATGGTATGGAGCCTTGAAGACAAATTTGAACACAGAAACTTTATGCGAAATAATGAATGGGAAGTGGAAAGATTAATTTTGGCACTTTTATTGATCCTTTTTCTGTTCATCCCAGACATGTGAAACGGGGGAGTAGGCATTTCCTCGTGATCATTTGATTCGAAAATAGTGCTGCAAACAAACGCACCATCAGGTGCTAATTTGCCTCTCCTTTCTAAATCCTAATGAAAATGCATATTGCTTTTTAGCTAGAACCCAAAAAATGACTTGGCGTGGCTCTGCTTTTTAGGAAGAAAAAAGAGAGAGAATGTTGAATTTAATCTTCTCCACCGAAAAGAATTCTCTTTCCTATTCTTTTCATATATCATCTGCTCAAGGGTAACACTCCTCAGTTTGCTTCATTTTTCATGCTCATTAGTCTCCAGCTCTTCCAAAACCTTAACTAATGTCACCTGATCTAAGTCCATTGCTGTTCATCAATATTATGCTCTTCCTCTTCTTCCTTCATACTGTGTCCTCGGTCCCTGCCTACCCAGTTAATGGTACATGCCGTGACACATGTGGCACAATTTCTGTGAAATTCCCCTTTGGTACCGGATCTGGATGTGGGCACCCTGACTTTGCCAGATACATAAAATGTAACTCTGAGAGTCTGGAATTCTCGACTGGCACTGGCATTTACAGTATTTCTTCTATTGACTACACAAGCAACAGTATCATTGTTACGGACCCCTTCATGTCAACTTGTTCTTCTATGCAGAATTCTGGAAGCTTTAGCTTGGATAGAGCCAGTCCATTCTCCATTACAAAAGACAATATCATTGTTTTGCTTGGATGCTCCGGTACATCTCCTGTATTTGATGCAGATGAAGATTTGTGTGCTACAGGTTCTGGTTCCCGTGTTTGTAGAGGGCTGTATTCATGTAAAGGAGTGTCAGGAATTGGGTTGCAACAGAATGCACCTGCATCCTCCTGTTGTGTTTACGATTCACCAACTGGCCTTGGATCAGGATATGCATTGGATCTCCCAAAGCTACAATGCTCATCATATACATCAATATACGGGTTTGGGGGCAACGAGGGGGATCCAATGAAATGGAAATTTGGGATTTCTTTGCAATACAATGATTCCTATACTTCTGATGCATGTAACGATTGTGAAAACAGTGGGGGTTCGTGTGGCTTCACTGGTTTGGATGAGTCATTTGCTTGCATTTGCCGGAATGGAAGGAACAGCACGACCAATTGCTTTGGTATAGGTAAGTTCATAGTTCACGCCGGTACTTGTTTTTTCAACCATGAAGTTTGCTCCGGCAAGGCATGTGGGTACTCTTGAATTTTCTCAATCTAATTTTAATACATTTGTCTGATATATGGTTTTGCATTGATTAGGATATGCTTTGAGCGGGACATGGGGGCCAAAAGTTCAAATCAAGTTGAATCCTGCAGGTACATAATGGCAATGCCTTTTCCTTTCTTGACTTTAAGCACATTATCCTTTTCTGCAAAAGTCTTACCTTGCATAAGATTTTTTTTCTTTTCGTGACAGCTTTTACTTTTTAGCTTCTTAACAGCTTGCTTGAAGATCAAATGTTGAGTTGATTTTCACATACTGTTTGATTTCATTAATTATTGATGCACTGCTACCAGATCTCTTACAAAACCAATAAACATTTTAATGTAAAGTTGTACTAGGCCTTGCATATTTGGTGAAACTATAAAGTTGTGCACGAAGTTATTCTTCCAACCAGGCAATAGTCTGAAGTGCAACTCCATAAAGAAAGACAGAATCAGATGCTCAGTAGCAGTAGCAGTAGCCTTTTGTTCAAAGTTCAAACACATATTATAAGAAATGTGAACTTACCCTTTTCCCATTTTGTGTGTTTTCTTTGTTTTTTGGATTGCAGGATTTCTTCTCTTGTGGATGATGACACTCTTTATTTAAAGCAGAGAAGGTGTTGTCAAGTTTTGAAGAGTTAATTGATGCATTTGAACACTGAAAGTGACAAAGTTTTTCTTTAATTTCGTTATCTCAATGTTGAGTATAATTGTAGTCAGTATAGATATTTAATCTGTCCTTTTGTTTATGTGAAAATATCAGAGTTAATATAAAAAGTGATGTAACTACGTACACTGCATCCAGAATAGCCATTTTTGTGGATAATGGTGAAATAATGCAGAAGGAACTCATTCAAAAGATGAAAAAATGCTGGCCGCAATTAGTTAGTTCGTAATGAGTTTTATTTGATAAATTACAACTAACTAATTACGAGTTACCATGTGAAGTTGTGAGAGAAAATTTGTGAGAAGAGATTGTGGGTGTAATATTATTCTAAAAATATAAGATGAATGGAAGAAATATGATATGCGTTTTTTAAATCATTAGTGATGTGTCGATTTATGGTAATATTAATGTGATGACATGTCAAATATAATTCACAAACAAATCTTCTAAACTTTCTCTCACTAATCTTACGTGGTTTTCCCACCACACTTCTAGGCAATGTTAACGGGTGGGAAAATTCATCAAAAAAACAAAGATAGACTGTCACGTTGGGAATGTAGATTCGTTTATTGTTTAAAAAAAATCAGTTGGGAATAATTATCAATTATGTTTTCAAAATTAAAATTTAAGTTATTATGATATAACCCTTTTAAAAATTAGTGAATTTCACAATTTTTTAAAATATATATACATATGTACTATGAAAATAAATTTAGAAAAGAAGTATTTTACATTAAATTTTCTGAGTATGGTGAATTTTATTAAAAATTATCCAAAAATTATCCAAATATCTTGTATCATTCACCCACCAAACTGTGACTTTTCTTATACGAAGGCGGAATCTTTCTTCCATAGATTCGATACCACTTGTAATTCTCACTTCCTTACTATACGTCTATGCCTCACTTCATGCTGTCTTTCGTCTTCTTCTATTTTCATTAACACACTATAAGGGATTAACTAAAAATTCACTCTTGGCTGCTCATTTTGTCAGTACCGTTTCTTTCTTTTGATGATTTTGTTTTATATACTAAATACCCACTTGCTTATTTTGGAATTTTTATGTTGAATTATGACACTGCGTGGGGTTAACCTTTCTGTTCATTAGCAATGATAAAAGTTGATATATTATAATATTTTTATGCCACTTGCTTGTATATTTTTTTCTAGTCGTCTTGTTTTGGTGTTGCTTTTTCTAGTATGTGTCTACAACAGTTTTATCTTCTGTGGCTTATCTCTGCATAATCTGTTTCTGAATTCTTTCAGATATTTGGTGGGATGAGAGAATTGAGATTGATCTTCTTGGGAGTTCTACTTGTTCTTGCAACTCTTCAAGTGGCAAGTTCCCATGGAGATCAACCGCTTTCAAGAATTGCTATTCAGAAGGCGACTTTTGCTCTCAATGACCTTGCTTATGTTAAAGCCTCTCCTAGCATTCTTGGATCGAGTGTATGTTTCACTAGCAACACATTTTTATTTTTCCTTGTTTTTTATCACTTTAATCATGCCCTTATGTAACAGGAGATTTAAGTTGATTATCACTTGATGTTGGCTACTTGTTGAATTGCATATTGTGACGATGGATTGTCAGTTTATGCATACATCAAACAACTATTTGTCAGATTGTCAACCTTGAAACCATCAAGGCCAGGTTAAATATGAAAAAACTTTTAAGTGTGTATTGGATTTAATGAAAATTTGTTCACTGTTTCAGGGGCGAAATTCAGAGTGGGTGACAGTTGAGTTTAGTTCTCCAACTCCATCTGTTGATGATTGGATTGGAGTATTTTCTCCTTCCAATTTTAGGTAATGTACTTTTTTTTTTTCGTGTTTATATATATATACACAGACATACATGCAATTACAAGTATGTATCTTTCTGGTTCTAATTAGTTAAACTTGATAATACCACTCTAATTGGAAGTATATATATTTCACTATTTCCAGTGCTTCCACTTGCTCTGCAGATAATCCAAGAGTTTATCCTCCCTTGTTGTGTTCTGCACCTATCAAGGTTTGTCGCTCAGTGCTTTGCCATTCTTGGTGAGTTTCTCCTTGAAGTGGAACGTGAATTCACATACTAATTTTTATCTGACTTACTTCTCTTCACAGTTTCAATATGCAAACTATTCCAGTCCTCGGTACAAAAGTACAGGAAAAGGCTGGTTGAAGCTTCAGTTGATTAACCAGAGATCCGACTTCTCTTTTGCACTATTCTCAGGCGGTTTGTTAAATGTAATTTCTAACTGTTTTATCTCATAATCAATCTGACTGTGTTGGCATGTTGTAATTTTTTCCCTATTATAATAAATATATGTTAAGGTTGCTCACGAACTCTCATAAAGAATTAATGTTGCTAACAACTGCATTATGGACTTTATAAGCTAAACTGATTTAATTTCATAGCATGAGATCTGCTATATGTAAGCACTTTGCCATGATAATGTCATCTTTTATAATTGTCTTGACCTATCTGTCTTTTAGCATTCCTCTTGTCCTGCTTATGTACTTCTGGAATCTTCATTCTGAACCAAATCACACTTTATTGTGTATTCTTAGGCTTTTGCTGCCCAAAATTAATGAATTTTGGTTTCATTGCCTCATCATCTGTAGACCATCTTTGGTGAAATATTTACATAGAGAGATGTTTGGCTCCAACCGAATACAATTTTTATTTTTATTTTTTAGCAATAGCGTCATTGTACTTACCATTCTGTGAAAACTTTCTGGAGCCTGACTAGGGAAAGTGTAGGTCATCTGTTAGCGTCAACTTCCCTCTTCATATCACAAGCTTAATTGCTCCCATAACCAAAATTTTCAAGAAAGTGTCTTAAGATCTTTAGAACGGATACTAGCTCTTGTTAAATTGGAAAAGACGGTTTAATCGTGACTGATCCAACTCAGATTTTATGGTATTAGAATACTGCTCTTACTCTGTCTCTTTATGATATAGCATTAATCATTATTCAATCATTTACAAGGAGGTACCTAAATCCATGTGTGTGACAGAGAGAGACCCACAAACTGCAAAATATATTCACTACCATACACACTGTTTCTCAGTTGTTTTCAGAGTCTGCTTTCTGCCGTTACCCATAGCTGACCTTTTATTTCATGTAGAAGATATTTTCTGGCCTTGTTATCCCTAATTATTACTTGCTTTTTATTAATATTTCAGAAGTTCTAATTTGTATGGTTATTTTTGCATTTCAACTTTAGATACTGTCTTTGATTTTTTTTGTTGCTATAACAGCCAAAGCTGGTAGCGGTGTCGAATAAAGTAGCTTTCACAAATCCAAATGCTCCAGTTTACCCACGCTTGGCACAGGGAAAACTGTGGAATGAAGTAAGGCCAATCTATCTATGTAATTTTCAGACCTTATGTTTAGTCAAATAATCTAGTGTTTTTGCCTGAATAAATTATCAACATAGGAAAGGTTCAACAACTATTTATCACTATATTGATAAGCTTTTCAAAAGTGCACTAGCTCTTGTCCCACTAGAAATCCTCGTTACTGCTACAATGGACATTATTTCTACTGTTACTTTATTTCAGAGATGACAATACTTTTCAATTTCATATTCAGATGACAGTAACATGGACGAGTGGGTATGGAATTAATGAAGCAGAACCTTTTGTGGAATGGGCTCCAAAAGGAGGGGATCCTATGCGGTCCCCAGCTGGGACACTGACTTTTGATCGTAGCAGCATGTGTGGTATGTAACTTCACTATCTGTTAATTTTTTACCCAATATATATACTTCTGGGTTTATTGTAAAGTGCAGTAACTTCGGATGGAAAACTACTGTTGTTCAGTTATGGATACCAGTGCAACTTAGCTGTGAATACTATATAGAAATGATAACCTCTACATATTGGAAATTATCTGTACCTCCAAAAACAGAGAAAAAGAAAGAAAAAGAAATCATGTAGTTACTTTAACTTGATTTAAATAGATTAGTTGCTACATTACTAAAAGATTGTCAGCATGGTTAAGTCTTTAAAGTAGAGTGCATCAAAGTGGTTCCAATAACAGCACAAGGATTAGTAATCTATCATGTTTACCATATTCTATATTTTGACTTAATAAGTCATCTTTTAGTTATTACAAGATAACTGATTAGAATGGGCTTTGTGGTCTGTTCTGTTTTTCTCTATTGAATAAATTTGCCCAAAATTTTTTCCTGGGTCTTTTGAGGTGGATGATTAATATCAAATTTAAATTCACAGGTGCACCGGCTAGGACAGTGGGATGGCGTGATCCTGGTTACATACACACCAGCTTTTTGAAGGAGTTGTGGCCCAATGCAGTGTAAGCTGCATCTTATTTTAGTATATGATATCTAATCTAGGTGTAGGTGTGTTAAAGCTTTATAAAATTTAAAGCAGTCCTTAAAGGATTTAGAAGGAATAGTATCATTTTGGTGTTCTATTTAACAGAGGTTTCTCTATTTTTCAGCACTACTCAATTTTTCAAGGTTTTGTTTGGAACTATTAGCATGAATTGACGCTGGCAAAATATCAACTTATATAACGCTACGTGCAACTCAAAAAATTATATGCTTCTGCTTATTTTCTGTTCTGTTTTTTAGGTATACATACAAGCTGGGACATAAATTGTTCAATGGTACATATATTTGGAGTCCAGAGTATAACTTTAGAGCATCTCCTTATCCTGGTCAAAATTCTTTGCAACGTGTAGTAATTTTCGGTGACATGGGAAAGGTTTGTCAAAATATACTGATAAGATCTCATTTATCAACAGCTCTTATTGTTGAAGATATTATTGTATCAGGGTATCCATTTGTTTATTTATGTGTGTGCATATCTGTAGATTCTTATACTCTCTGTAGTATAATATTAATACTTGCTTAAACAAACAAGTTAAAACATTTAATTTTACAATGACTTTACATAAAGTAAGTAATATGTTTATGAACTGTTAAGGTGAAATAGTTTGCTATTTTAGTTGTCTGGTGAAGGGTGAACTGCTTTTGTTTAAATATAGAAACATTATGTTTTACTCTCTTTAAAGGTATGTCCTCTGTGTTTCAACATTGCCGTATGTAAGGTTGGTCTCATAAGATGTTTAAGCTTATGAGTCCAAATACCAACTCTGATGCAATTGGTGAAGTAGTTTGTTTATTGACATTTTGCAGGATGAAGCTGATGGTTCTAATGAATATAACAACTTCCAGCGCGGGTCTCTTAATACCACTAAGCAGCTTATTCAGGACTTGAAGAACACTGATATAGTTTTCCACATTGGAGACATATGTTATGCAAATGGATATCTTTCACAGTGGGACCAGTTTACCGCACAGATTGAGCCAATTGCATCAACAGTGCCTTACATGATTGCAAGGTTTGTCAAAATTTATTTATATAGCTTGTCAGAGTGTATACTGGATCTGAACTTCTTTTAGTGACAAGTGGTGATTTCTTCTTCCAGTGGTAATCATGAGCGTGACTGGCCAGGGACAGGATCTTTCTATGGGAACATGGATTCTGGAGGAGAATGTGGTGTGTTGGCTGAAACTATGTTCTATGTCCCGGCTGAGAACAGAGCTAAGTTTTGGTGAGTATATATCATGAATTAACCTCATTAACATTAATTAATTAATAGTGTTTTATATCTGTTGAAAGATTTTTAATATATTATTTTAACCCTTTATGCTGATTATTTTGTTAATACTTTTAATTCTAATGTATTCTAGCACCATCTTAATTTATTCAGGAAATCTAAAATATATTTAATCAAGCACAGTTTGATATTGCAAACTATTTGCAGATATCACAATATGTGAAACAACTTTTGATGTGGTTACAAATTGTTTGAACCACATGGATTAATTGCACAGCAAGAACACTTGTTCTTAGAAGCCTTTTTCTGAGTGTTTGGATGCTCCCAATTGGTCACATTTGTTGTTACCTCCTGATTTCTTCTCTCTCTAGTTACAGAGAACCAGCGACGAAAAAGGTTGTGTAGGAAATCCTCTGGTGTTCATAGAGAGGCTGTCCAAAAGGACCTTGATAAATTTTTCTGTTGCTAAAAAATGTTCTTTCTTCCACTTGTTTCAAGATGTTGTGGGATCTAATGTTTAAAAAACAAAATTTTATTTTTACCAGGTACTCCACAGACTATGGTATGTTCCGATTTTGTATAGCTGACACAGAACACGATTGGAGAGAGGGAACTGAGCAGTACAAGTTCATTGAGCACTGCCTAGCATCAGTTGACCGGCAAAAACAACCCTGGTTGATTTTTCTTGCACATAGGGTTCTAGGTTATTCTTCTGGTATCTCTTATGCTGTAGAAGGATCATTTGCTGAACCAATGGGGAGGGAGAGCCTTCAAAGACTCTGGCAGAAGTACAAAGTTGACATTGCCATCTATGGCCATGTACACAATTATGAAAGGATATGTCCTATATACCAGGTATAATCCCAATTTTAAGCACTGAAGAAACTATATTTTGTCCTTTTGTCTTCCCTCCATTTTGCACCACTATGGAATTCAGTTCAAAGTAAGTAGAAGGACTAATATTTCATTTTAATTGCATCTTTGCCATTTTATAAGCTGAATTGTGAAACCATGGACATTCACATTCAACCGTATTTAAGTTAGAAAACAGACAAGAAATATATATGCTTAAACAAAACAGGATAAAAAAAGAACTATAGCGATTTCTTGAAACGATTGCCTTTTCACATACTATAATGATTGAATTTTCTATTTTTCTTTCTTAATAAAAATTTGTAAAATATATCTTAAAAAGTGTTGTTTCTTGTTATGTTTTGAACTTGAACAGTATCGTGTAAGCATAATTTCGCTTTAGTTCTATTTTTTGGCTTTTCATTTCCTTGGTAGATTCAGTATGCCACATTATACATAGATTGGATACTATTTATATTCTGCAGTTGTTTTAGCTAATAGTTGGTGTCAATCTTCCTCTGCTACAGCATATATGCACCAATGAAGAGAAGCACTATTATAAGGGCACCCTGAATGGGACAATACATGTGGTTGCTGGTGGTGGTGGAGCAAGCCTTTCAGAATTTACAACTCTGCAAACCGCATGGAGTTTATATAAAGATTACGATTATGGATTTGTAAAACTTACAGCATTTGATCACTCAAATCTGTTGTTCGAGTACAAGAAAAGCAGGGACGGAAAGGTTTATGACTCTTTCAGAATATCCCGGGACTATAGGGACATTTTGGCCTGCACTGTTGATAGTTGCCCAAGCACGACCCTTGCATCATAATTTTATGTATAGAGGATTCTGATTTCTTCAATAAATTCTCATATTGGACTAATATGTGAGTTCTGGTGTTCCACAGTTGAAAATGCAATTTATTTATCTTCTTTGATTTCCTACTCAGAGGTAAGAAATGGAAAGAAAGATAATTCATTTCAGGGGTGACAAATGCAAAGCTTGTAACCTCTTTTACCCACCTCTTTTTAGTGGGTTTATTGTCCTACCCCAACTCATTTGATGAGGCTCAAATTTGTCATCATCTCAAATAGTGGGGCTCAGAATGCAGCATTTAACTCGTATTTGAATATCATCTTTCCAAACGAGTGAGGTCAATTTATACTTTTAGTTCGTTTGAAAATATAATGTCAGTGGGGGGGACATAAAATGAGATTATTGTATGAAATGTTAATTTCATACAATAATTATGACGGAGAACAAAGAAATTAAAATGCAACCTAAACGAGCGAAGATTTATTATAATGTGAAAGCTTGAATTTTTATTTAATGGTACTATAGTCTGTGGATAACCTTGGAATGGGATATTAACATCAGACGTTCTTCGGTCCACAAAATTTCTTCTTGTTTTGTAGCTGTATCTTTAATCCACAATCAGTACTATTGTGGCTTGCAATATCAGAACAAAACAAAATGAGCCAAAAATAAGCAGATAAGCTTTTCAAAACCTAGAAATCTCCGCGTTAAGACAAAGAGCACTCAAGTCTTTCCTGATTTTAGCCCTTCAAACTTAAAGAATATCACTTCTTTTTTTTTTCTTTTTTTCTTTTTTAATGAATTTTTCCATTAGTGAGCTTGGTTTCATTTGGATCAGAGTTTGGATTTTTATGCTTTGTCAATGAAGTTGCTTGACAAACTGGGATAGTGTTAGTCTACAACAAAGAGAGGAGATAATATATGGATTTATGGGTGGTTGCAGCAGCTACAGGCGCAGGGTACATAGCCAAGTACTGGCGAAACTTGAAATCTAATGATAGAGAAACCTCTTCTGCATCATTTTCCTTTGATTCAATTTACAGGCAATCTGAATCCAGGAACTTGCTGCAACAAATAAGGGATCAAACCAGCCCCTTACGCAGACTAGCCGGCGAACAATTAGACATAGATGGCTTATTTATACACGGAAAAGATTTTATAGGATTTACAACTACTCAAAGGCAAGTGGAGAACAATGACGACTATAATTTGCTTTCATTAACAAGTTTTCCGCCATTGTTAAAAGAAAATAAAAATTTTCAAGGAAATGGAAATGGGATGGAGGGAAAGAGTAACTTCTCTGATGTATCTAGACATCTTAGGAGTAGGTATTATGGGAATTTTCTTGAACCCCTTGAGCTTGATTCATTGGAAAGCAGCCTTAGAGCTCAGTTGCTTATGGAATATGCTGCAATGGAGGAATATGTTCATAGTTCAGTTCCTGAGCAGTCCATACCAACAGTGAGACCATTGTTGTTAACTGATGGGAGCCGGATAATCAGCAGGGCTAGCTGCGATTCCAACCGTGAAATGCAGCTACAGAACGGAGAATATAAGCTTCAAAGTGAAGATGGGCTAGAGCAAAATGAGATGCAGCTGTTACAAAGGAAACTTAAACAAGAGATTCGAAGGCAGTCCAGAAGATTCTCCATGATGAGGGAAACTAGTCAATCATTCCATTCACAAGGTTGATTTCTGTTTTTTGATTTTATACATTCTGCATTACTTGTCTATTGCCTCTCAAGAATTAAATATGTGTTCTTATAGAATACTATCTAGAAGGAGACATGAGAAATACTTATCCTGGTCTACTTCTGTGAACTAAATAATCAAATAGTCTTGCAAAATTTGATTTCTTCTTGAAGATAGCTATAGTGGGCGTGGACTGAATGAATCAAACATCTTCAACTTTACAGAAGAAGAGACTTACATTTGTCAGCATATAAATCTAACAGTTTTCTCTGAAAATTCAAGTTTGAATTATGATGGTATCTCTTCATCTTTCGATATTTATGATGCCTTAAAGCTGCACGCTTGCCAGGACTTCCCAATCCAAAGCTTCTTTTCTTCCTTGGGATCAGTATTGGTGTAATGTCCACCATTCTTGCCAACAAAGGTGAAATGGAAAAATTAAACGAGCAGTTGCAGGAGAACGAGAACTTGGTTCAAGATTTACAGGAGGAGCTGGAAATGAAAGAACTGCTAAATGTGAAGGAGCTTAAGCTTGATGAGGCTTTTGAGTCCTCCGCAACAAATAAGGACCCATTACTCAGCGATACACCACATGGTTCATACACCAAACAAGAATTAGATATATATAACAATTCTGATGGTGAAGAACCAGACGATCAGAAAGCAGTAGGTTCTGAGGCAATGAGTAAAATTGAGGCTGAGCTTGAAGCAGAACTAGAAAGATTGGAGGTAAACATGAGGACATATAGCTTGGAGAAAATTCCTGATTATGTTGAGGTAAGTATGCTCCTGAATTATACTTAATTAAGATGCATACAATTTGGTTTTATTGAAACAAGTTCAAAATTCAAACTACGGAATTTAACAGTTTCTGATTTTTGTCTTCAGCTTGATCCTGGTTTTGACACAGATATTGTTCATGGTGATCTAAAACTAGATAAGGCTAAAGGGGACCCTTGTGGTTTATCTGATTCAGACCATGAAGTAAGCGGAACATCCACCAATCCACCTGATATAGAAAACTATGCTGTGTCACCTCGAGAGTTAAGCCTGCAACTTCATAAAGTTATTCAATCAAGGCTAGAAGCACGCATCATGGAACTTGAGGCTGCCCTTGAACATAACCAGAAGCGGTTGCATTCTATGGAATTGGAAAGCGTAAAGCCTTGGAGAAAAAGGGACTCGTATGGCGAATTAGAATCTTCTTCCCATGAAAGCACAACTTTCATTGATGAAAACTATGAGGATGATTGACTCTTGGTTATGAATTTGTCTGGGGAAGTTCCACTTCCAGCAACCTACAACAAGGCTTATGAAGTAATTACGAGGACGATCAATTAGTGAAGAGACAATAGTGATGGTTTTTGAGAAAGAAGCAGAATGTTCAGAAAGGCCAAAATAGTGAAGTAGAAGGTCTGTTGGAGTTCAACAAAGTTGGTAAAGAATTGAACTGATGATAACATCTGATCTGCTTCCTGGGAAGAATAGAAAGGTAGGAGTTAGGAATCAAATGAGCTGGTGAATATGATTTCCATAGAGCAGATTGTGAATTAAATGGGATGGCTGTAAATATCATAGCAAGAATGAAAAAAAAGGATTAGATTAGCCTCAGCTAAAATAAAATGTTTATTTTTGTATGTGTAATTAATTTTATATGCTTGGAGCATTGCAGATTGTAGAGCCAAAAGAAATTTGTAAAAAATGTCGTAGAAAAGACAAGATCAGTCAATCCCAAGGGGTTGGCCTGGTGATTAAGAAGACTTGTTCCCTTCATTAACTTTTAGGTTCACACCACCTTGGAGTCACTTATAACATTGTGGCTTATTTGGAACATTGAGCTTGTATAGAATGTTCAATGGACATCCGAGATTAGTTGAGACACAAGTTAGGCCGGACACAGTTTTCAAAAAAAAAAAAAAAAAAAGACACAGAAAGTACAGAATAGTCTTTCTTTGTCAAGAAATCTTAACCGGAAATTTGGAAGAACAAGCTGAAGAAGTTAAGTTTGAGCCAGAAGTGCACGAGGATGCCAATGAAATTAATATTCACTTGAATTTGTGACTTTAGCATCATTTATAAACCATACACATTATACTTAAAAAATATAACAAATTGTGAAGGCAAAAACATGATAAACAGTTCAATTACTACAACTGACATGCTCATAATCAATATTCACTTTTCCATGAATTCCAAAAAGAGAGCCTGTTCATGAAATCTACATGATAATATTTTACCACAATTATGTTCTAGATGTGCTACAACAATTGTGGATACCAAAAAATATATTAACATACACACGACAAACAAATATATTGAGAGATGTGATGAAAAGATGCTCAAGAGGATATCAAAATTTGAATGTCTACTGTTATTGTTTTAAACAACGCAATCAACATTTCTATGGTTTACAATGGGAAGACTTTCTTGTGTCTAAAATACAACAATAAAGATAAGTATACGAATCCACAGATAAAACCTGTTATAATCAGAACCCAATAGAATACATTTGGGTAATCAAAAATTGTGGCTGCAAAGTTCATTCCAAACACTCCCGTCACAACTGCAAATATTGTAGCAACAAAGGTTGCTGCAGTCAGAAGCAACTCGAATTGAATTAGTTGATTCTGAATGTTGCCCTGTTTGTAAAAGAAAGAAAGATCAATGTTCCGCAAAATTTAATTTTACTTTGACAAAATAAAGGTGATGTCACGAAATCTGTTAATCATCATCACTCACCAATTTAATATTGATCAAATCTTCAGTATCATCAATGTATTCTTTGAGCTGCATCACCAACAAACAATCAGTATTCTAAGCATCAGTATATACCCAAGCAACCATCTTTTTAATAAACAATATTCCCTCTTTATGTATGTGAAGTCAGCCTATTATTTAGTACTCAAGGGGATAAAATTGTAGGTTAGACTGATGGAGTGAAGGATGGATTGGGGAGTTTCACTCATTTCTATCTTCTCTTCTTGCTCTTTTCAATATATGCTATTTAATGAAAATAAAAATAAATGAACAGAAGAGACAAACACTCAAGTAGCGGGGATGAACTAAACAGCGTTCAAAACAAGAATGCTGTAATGGTTGAAAAAAATTGGCATGCCTAAACCAATCCTATAATGGCCAATTGCAAGCATTTTGCCAATAAACCATACAAATTTGAAAAGGTTCAAATATACGTTTGGTAGACAGTAAAAGATCTCTTACCGTTAACAACTTGCTGAGATTATTGTCAATAAAAACAAAATATGCTTCAAGTAACATTTCGAGTTGATCAATATTTTCCTCGCTACTAGATGAGCTGATTAAGCTTCCGTATTTGCTTGAACTCACAATACTGCTAAATGCCCTTTGCAATTTCTGGGATCCCTTGATTGATCCCACTGGTGAAACAGGTGCAGATTTTGAAGGCACTCTGTCCCCACCAGAATAATTGGTCTGACTACATACATCACTAGAGGTGTAAGCCTCCGACCTGAGTTTCTTCTCTGTAAGGTACATCTCAGCCATGTCACCGTCATCATCCATGAGATGTTCTATCTCATCATGTACCTGAAAAATTCAATTAAGTGATAATATACAGATGAGACAAACAAATTTCCAGAAGGACTAGATATTGTTGTTTTTACCTTCTGAACTCTTTGTGTCAACGCAAGGAGGTGGCCTTTCAATCTACGGACACGTTCCAGATTAGAAGTGCTAACAGATGTTGTTAGTTCATCTAGAACTGGATATATCTCCATTTCCAGCTCTTTTACCTATCAAATCAAAAAACTCAATGATGTCACGGTTTTAAGACAACAATTGAAGTTTTAAATGAGGTTATTTTGGGCTTTTTCAGTTGAGACAATTCTTTTACTTATTATTTTCTCAAAGGGTATTAATTTACTAGTTAATCCCCACAAAAAAGTATTTACTTAAACGGGTTATATAAAATTGATACATATATTCAAGTACCCTTGTGTTGACACAGTTCAAATTGAATCAGCTTTGAAAACAATTAATTGAACACTAGCTTCAATTTTTCAACAATGAATATCTTTAATCTTGTGCCCTAAAAAGCTTTACTGAATTGGACACATATGTAAATCCATTAGTACTATGGAGATAAAAGAAACCAATTTAAGTATTTTGAATAAGAACAAGGCAATTACCACGCTTAGCAAGCAAAGCAGACCACAGCTTACCTGAGCGTCAAGAGACGTGCAAGTTAATTCCAAAGCCAGCTCCAGAGCCCTAAATTCAAATGGCAGGTCATCTGAAACAAATCGGGACAAACTGTTAGCAATTTAGGCAATAGTAATTTCCTATAATTTGAGAAGTTCATATAGATAATATGTCTACTAAGAAAGTGACACCAATCAGACCTTAAGCAAAGACTATAAAGGTGCTGTTGGAACTTAAAAGAGAAAATTTGGTATGCACCACAATTTTGCTTTTAGATGCCTTCCTTAACATTCCAGTAGTTGCTACAAGAAATTTAAATAGGCCATTAACATCAGTAACATCTAGAGGTAAAAGTTACCAGATTGGTCTTTCTTGGTCCGAAGGCGTTTGCACAATTCCAAATTGTAATGAACAACACAACCATCCACAGAATTCATCAAAATAACCTCATCAGCTGTTATTATACACCTGATCTGCTCAAGACTGACTACAATAGCTTTTTCCCGTCCTAATATAGTTGACGGATAAATAAACATAGGGTCAAGAAGCCGTAAATCCCTGGCTGGCAATGAACAATGTTTCATTATAGTAGCCTTATCAAGCTGCAAAATCTCTGAGCTCCCGTCCTGGTCAATCTTTATCCATGAACGACTTCCATGACCTCTCTTCTTTGTGCTTGAATGACTAGACCGGCGACTTCCATTCACTTCTAAATTTATCCTTCCAGTACTAGTAGATGATGCAGATGCTGATGCCAGAAGAACAGGAGAAGGATGTCGTGAATCATCCATTGGATTTTAATTTTTCTTGCTTTAGGTACCAAGCCAGAATTTTGCCAAGGCCTGACACATAAGTACACATTAATCGGTAGCAAATTGCCCCTCTCAGACAAATGCAACATTGTCTGAATGAGCAGGTAGGCGAACGCATCTAGAACCACAACTATCGAGACTAATGTTATCCATGGTCTTTGTGCATTTCTGAAGTAAGACCCGAAAATTGTATCTGGTAGAAGATAAGCCAATGAATTCAGTAACTAAATATTTCACCGATTTGAATGGAGTGTAACCAACTAGAAATATAACAATCTCCCAAAATTTTGCTCTGTTTGTAGCAAAAAGTTAGTTGAATAAGAACTGATTCCTTGAATATCATATTTACTATCAATTGATACTTAAGCAATAACTCAGGCAAGCCTATTTGTCAAACTTTATAACTCCATTACAACTCAACTTCTTAGCTTCAATTACTCTGATGAGTAACATAAATAACCAAACACACACAAAAGAGAGAGAGAGAGAGAGAAAGATTGCACATAAGCAAATCACTGGAAATAATAGTAATTGAAACACCCATAATCTGAAAGTCTATACGTTGATTAGATACCTCAAACCCAAACCTTAAACAAGAAATTTCAAACATTTCAACATCTAAATCAATAAACTTCAAACTTTTAAGCGTGATGGTGAGAAAATAGGGACATGGAAGCAAAATAACTAGACCTGGAGAGTCCAACAGGTAACTACACTAAACAATATAAACAGCACTGCATCAAATAAAAAACTGACAAAAAACCCCTGGTAACACTCACCAAGAAGTAATCAAAGAACCCAGCCCATAAAAGCAAAGTAACCGAGGTGAAAAAAAACAAAAATAAAAAAAAAGAAGCAAATATACCAGTCAAAAAAAACTTCAGATTGTGAAACGAGAGAAGAAGGGATAATGCTCCATTCTTGAAAGTGAAGAAAGAGCAGGGATTTGTATTTCTGTTAAAGTGATGATTAGGAGACCCCGGTTTCAGTGCCACCTCCTCAACACATTCTTTTTCTAATTATTTTGTTTTATTTTTTTCCTATTGTCGTGTGAATTTAGAATTACCTATTTCTATATATATATATATATATATTTTTTAATTTTTGGATACTAAATTTAAAAGAGAATGTGTTGTGTACTTTTTAGACTTTGTTTTTGTGCTAATCGACAAAATTCTATAAAGAGTTCGAGTTTTTCAAAATTTGAAAAACAAATGTGTTTTATATTTAAATTTGGTTTAATTATTATTAGTATTATTGGATAAATAACAAAAGAGCTAATTGCTTACATATATTAATTTGCAAAATCTGTAATGACAATTACACCATTAGTTGGATATCAGCTAAATTTATAGGGTTTACCTCAAGTACCCTTATGATTTGTGAAATTGACAAGTTAGTCCTTCAATTATCCAAGGTTGTGTTTGTTCTATTTTTCCCAATCCTATCATATCAAATCCTACCCAAAATATATTTGTATCAATATTCTCAAAATCCAATCCGATTATATTTAACTCAAAATATTTAGATTTTTTTAACCCTCTAAGTTTGTTAATTTAACTAAACACCCTAAAAAATAAAAGTTTATAAATTGACAAAAACACTCACACCCACCTATTAAATGCTAGCAATCGACCACCACCGCCGGAAGGTGGCCGAAATTTGCTAGAATGGCACACGACCAGTCGGATATGGCAGTCGTGCACCGATCTGGCCTTTTTCAGCTAGATCCATGGTGGATTTGTGCCATTCTGGCATCTTCCAACCACCCTCCAACGGTGGTGGCCGGTTGTCGGCATTTAATGGGTGGGTGAGGGTGTTTTTGTTAATTTTTAATATTTTTATTGTAGGGAGTGTTTAGCTAAATTAATAAATGTAAAGGATTAAAAAATAATCTAAATATTTTTAGAAAATGTTTTCCAAAAATTTACCAAACACATTTTCAAATTCAAATTATATTCTCGTAATAACAACCTAACTCAACTTTTTCAAAAATACTAACTCTATCAAACACAACCCAAATTATCCAACTATCTCTCTTGCCGTCATTAGAATTTTTTTCGTTAAAACTAAAGGTAGTACTACACTTACAACTCAATCTCATAAACTTTTTCTCACAACCTTGATGTGGAAACTCGTCATTGGTTAGATCGCAATTGGGCAGAGTTGGCACGTCAGGGTTGGAGAGAAAGTTAGTAAGATTAAATTATGAGTCAATCTTTATAATAAAACTAATTCTTGACTATTTTGCCACTAAATGACATAATTGCCCTTAAAAGTAATTTTTTAAAATTTTAAAAGAAAATCCTAAAATTCTTTTTGTTAAAACTAAAGGCAGTACTACACTTACAACTCAATCTTATAAACTTTCTCTCACAACTTTGATGTGGCAACTCGTCCTTGGTTAGATCGCAATTGGGCAGAGTTGCCACGTAAGGTTGGACGAGCAAGTTAGTAAGATTAGATATGAGTCAATCTTTATAATAAAACTAATTCTTGACTATTTTGCCACTAAATGACATAATTGACCTTAAAAGTAATTTTTTAAAATTTTAAAGAAATCCTAAAAATTTCAAAAAGAACTCTTAAATTCTTTTAAAAAAAAATTTAAGAAACAAAACTCCAAAAAAATTCTCGAAAAAAATGAAAATCTACCAATATAAAAGGAATTCTAAATTTTACAATTTTTTTTTTTTTTTTGGGGGGGGGGGGGGGGGGGGGGGGGGGTGGGGGTCATTGTTTTAAGTGATTTAAATTTTTAATTTTTTTTTTTAAACTTTAGATATTTTTTCTTATTTACATAGTAATTTATTCTTTTGGGTAAATTGGTCATTCAACAATCAAAATGGTCAACAGTTGGTTTTTTCCAAATGAAAAAACTAATAGAAGGAGGTAGTTGAATAGTTCGAAAAATACAAAAATTGATTTGTCAAGTTTGCAAAGCACAGGGCACTAGATGGTATTAGTCCAAATTTATATCATATCCATCCTACCCAAAATAATCATTATTTTATTATATATTTAAAATAAAATAAAATAAAATGCCAGCTACTATCAAATGATTCATCAGTAGAAGACATATCAGCTTCTGATTCTGATTCTGTTTGGAAGGAAGATACAAAATCCTGAGTAATACCCAAAGCTACAAGACGTTGTCTTTATGTCATGTCTCTCAAAAAAGAACTCATATAATTGGAAGAGACAAGATTTTCTGAAGAGACAGGATTAGCAGAAATTTGGCGATCTTCCATCATCATCATTTGCATTGGAGTCTTATCTTTAGATAAAGGATGACGAGGCTTAGGAGATGGAGGATCTGAATGACTGGAAGAGAAAGAGTCAAGTATATCATCAGATGGTTTCCGCGCTGACTCATGTGTCTTAGCAGAATATTTTTCTCGCTTCTTTTGTTCACATTCTAGCTTATTCTTTTCATCACGTTCTTTGCAGAGTTTGGCATATAACTATTAGGTATTGCCAAAAACCTAAACGACACCAAAAGGCATGTGAGGCAAGACCAAAGCCTGACTAATCTTTATGAAAGGTGAAAATGAGGGTTGTGGCCATGCTGATGAAGAATCAAAAGGATTTGGCACCAAAGACATTTCAGGAAAAGTTTGTGGTTGTCTAAGTTTTTACTTAAGATATTCCTGTTGAAGTGATGTCATTTGAGTTTTAAGCAACTTCATTTCTGCTTCCTTCTGGAGAAATTGAGTTGAATAGCTATGAGAAGTGTTGACGATGTGCATCAATTCCTGATGGAGCTGATCAATCCGGTTTTCTAAACAAGAAATCAGCATAGTGTGGTTTTGAGACTGAGAGTCCACCTGATGAGTTACTAGATCCACTTTTTGTTCTATTCTGGTAATGGTTTTATTTTGGGCTAAAGTATTTTTAGTCTGCCAATTAAGAACTGCTTCAGCTTGGGAGAGTTTTGGTGTGGAGCCATCAGGCTGTATTACTTTGGAAGGAACTACTTTTGGTTGTTGAGTCGTAGTTTCCTTAAGAGAAGGAAAATTTGTGTCATAATTTAAATTTTGTCCTGTCTTTTGGGGGTCAGGTGATTGAATCATCATGATGGATTAGACATGAGGAGTATGAATAAGGGATGAATGGGCTGTTTTGTTTTCTTTTGCAATCCACAGGAGAGCCTGCTGATAACATGATAAAGGCTTTTTAAAGTAAGACGATTTAGTAGGTTTGGATAGTTTTAAAGGTGATCTGGGTTTAGGTTCTAGAAGAATGCCCCATGAAGGTTTAATGGATGGTGGTTCTTTCCAGGCTGGAGGAGAATATTTGACATAATAGTCAAATTTGTCGGATGGCTAACCAAGAAGGCCAACTTTGGGATCATGGTCTTCAAATCTGGAGTGAAGATCTTTTTTACTGCATCGAGCTGTTTGTCTTTTCCGTCTGGAATGTTTTCGTCTGGAAAGATAATGATCATCTATTTCCCAAATATAATCATCAAGGCAGTCCAAGCATTGACAGTCAAGATCAAATGGAGTATGACCATTGACTGGATCAAATTGATGATAGACAAGAACACCAGATTGTTGAAATGAATGAATTGAAAGTCCAGGTTCCTGTACTGTTGTAGTTGGTGAGACTGGAGTGATCATAAATTGAGTTTGTCGAAAACTCAAAGGTGGAGCACTAGGAGTTACTGGTGACTTGAATCTGATAGTTGTTGTTCCGTCACTGTTGTCATGCATGGTAGATTACGTAGAAACCACTAGAGTTTGTTTTTTATTAAGAGACTCATAACTTGTCACCCAAGAGTCTGGTAACAGTTTAATCAAATCATCTCTGAAAATCTGTTTGGGAATATTGATGCAGTGAGGAGTATTCTGAGAGTCAACAGTAAGAAGCAGTGCATCAATAGTCGTAGGAATAGTGAGATCAAGAGCATGGTCTTGAATCCGCCAAACCATCTGGCAATGCAAAGTAGCTGCAATACTTCATAATGCAAAGCTATTTTCCAAATTTGATCTCAAAGCTGGATTTTGGCAACTTGGAATTCATCCTAATGATCGTCATAAGATGGCTTTCTGCATTCTCAACCAACACTTCCAATCGACAATCATGCCTTTTGGTCTTAAGGTCACTCTTTCCCTGTTTCAAAAAGTCATGATGAAGATATTTGCTCCTCTTCTTCATACATGTCTCATGTATATCGATGATATTCTCCTCTTCTTAAAAGATGAGGAATCTCATATGCATCTTCTTCGCAAATTTGTTGATATCATACACTCTTATGGTATTATGCTCTCTAAAAAGAAAATGCAGCTAGGTCAGACAAAGATTGATTTTCTTGGTTTGGTTATTGCTGATGGCAAATATGACCTCCAGCCTCATATTGCTAATGAATTACAGAAGTTCCCAGACATTCTCACAACTCGAAAAGAAATACAACAATTCTTAGGAATTGCTAATTACATGCGCAATTTCATTCCCAACATTTCTCAACTCACTTCTCCACTTTCCTAGATGCTTAAGAAGAATCCTCCTTCATGATCTGACAAGCAAACCAATGCAGTCAAGAGTTTTAAACGCAAATCCTTCCATACACAACCATTGGAGATTCCCTCTTCTAGGAAACGAAATCTTTAGACAGATGCTAGTGACACTCATTGGGGTACAGTGCTTTTTGAACAAGATGATGACAAAGTAAGACATTTGTGTGGATATCAGAGCGGACAATTCAAACCACATCAACAACATTATCATTCTACTTTCAAGGAAATATTAGCAATAAAATAATGCTATTGAAAGGTTTGAATTCCATCTTGTTGGACATCACTTTTTTGTTGAAACAAATATGAAGTCCTTTGATCAAATGCTCTGATTCAACAAGAAAAATGTTCCACATCAATAATTACTTCGATGGGCAGAATGGTTCAGCAAGTATTCTTTCATCGTCCAGCACATTAAAGGTCACACAATACCATTGCCTATTATTTATTTAGGCCTAAAACTAAACAAGTTTGTTCATGAACCCTAGGTCCAAACCACTTCCTTGTTTCATGTATCAACCAATAACCCAGTCTAGTTCTTGTTTACCAAACCATATGCCAAACACATCTCTTGAATTTGATGACCTTGTTCGAACTCGTACCATTGATGAAAATGCCACTACCCTCATGTTTTCTTATCAGATTCAATGTATTGAAAAATGTGGACAATCCATGTATGATATTTTAAGTGTCCATCCAGATTACCCCTTTTCAAAAATCTTTTGTTTACCTCTAGGTCCAGATATTATATTTCCAGAAGAAACATTATGGTTCTTTTGGTATATGTTACACCAGTACCACATTGCAATTCAATTCCCGGTCTATTAAATGTTGAAAATGATTTCTCAGTATCAGTCATCCTCGACCTCTGAGTTACTCTCTTTGATGACTTTTTTCAAATGGTTCAAAACCATAAAAAAATGAAAATCTATGTTTGCTCATCAACTTGCCCGATACAGAGGTCCTATGTCCACCAAAATGGCATGGTCTATCATGTTTTTCCATAAACATCACTCCATCAGATCCGATGGCCTATATTTTTCACAGCATCAAGTCACATTTAATCGATCTTATCCATATGATCTCGTCAATAATATGTTTGACCATCCTGTTGAGATTAGGTCAATTCAGAATTTTTTTTTTTTTTAAAAACCAGACAATTCCAGATGAGATATGGCCATCTTTTCGCGATAATGCCCCGTGGGAACTCTTTCCTCCAGTTTACACTGAGAAATTACTTCAAGCCAAACAAACATACATACGTTCCATCACTACTCAATTAAATGCCACTTCAGATTATCCAAAATGGTGGTACCCAGACTCTTAGCCAGATACTGTGCAGAAAGAAGAGCTTCAACAGTCTCGTGATTACTATCTTCATAAATCCAAGCAATAACAATACATGCATTCACCAAGTACCTCTGTAAAGCAGCCATCTCAATCTCCAGACATTTCTTCGAATAATCATATAGGCTCCATTTGGTTCGTGATTTTACACTTTTGAGAATAGTTTTCTAAAAAAAGTTGGTTGAGTTGTATTTAATAGTTTTCTAAAAAAAGTGTTTGCATTTAAAAATGTTGTTTATTTATTAGAATTATCAATAGATAATGTCAGAAAAATGTTGTTTGCATCTAATAATGTCAGATAATGTTGTGCGCCTGCTCCTTGTGTGTTACCTTTATGAACTCCCACGCCACTCACGCCATCAGTAAGTTAGCTGAACACAGGGGTGTTTTTGATAATTCAGGTGAAATATCTATTCAAATCACTTGTTCAGTTTGGTTAATTATTTGAATATTATATTTGAATTAAATAAATTAATGAATAATTGTTTTATGTATTTTTTTAAAAAGGATTTTAAGATAATATTTTGATACATTTTATTTCAAATTTATATTATTTGATTATTGAACTTTTCAATTCACATTTAAATAATATTAATTAGTTGTTTGGTGATTTTTTAAGAGCTTAATTAAAAACAATTTCTCCATAATAAGTTCGACTACTAATATATCATTTAAAAACACGGCATTAATACATATCTAAATTAATACTACGAAGCTACTAATAATCATCCCTCAAAATTCTTTGTACCCCAATATTCAGTTATCAATACGAGTTGGACTCATGTTCTGCCCACAGAGCAGTAGTTATGCTATCCCTCACCCTTCCCATGTCATCTGTATTACGCTGAGTCAGTTGATTCGAACCCGTCCCATTTCCTTCCTCACAAACTCCATTGCCATTAAACCTTTGGAAGATAGGGTCGTTCGTACCGAGCCTTTTGATAAAATTATGAATTACACAACATGCCATAACAATGTTAGCTTGCTTCTGCAACAAGTAATTATTCATGCCATCAAGAATGCGGAACCTTTTTTTAAAAACACCAAAGGTCCTCTCCACAACATTCTGAAGCGATGCATGTCTGTAATTAAACAACTCCATAGGTCCAGAAAGGTTACGATGCACATCAGAAACATGATAAGGAACCTGTCTATGTGGGGCGAGGAACCCACCTCTGTTCGCATAACCCGCATCTACTAAGTAATATTTTCCTATAATGAATAACTGAATGTTATTTGAAGAATCATAAAAAAAATGTTTATAGTTTAGCTACAGTACATAAACAAGTTAGTTATACCTGGAGGAGGATGCGGGAAACCCGAACCAGGATCATCTAGAACTGAATTTAGAACCCTTGCGTCATGGGCAGATCCTTCCCAGCTAGTGACGACATATGTGAACAACATATTGAAGTCGCAGACGGCTATCACATTCTGCGACAATGCCCCTTCACGATTTCGATACGTATCAGCTACCTCAACTGGTGTCGACCCACGTATATGTGTACCGTCAATCGCTCCAAGACAGTCCTGTTGACAAAATTGCATTTTAGTAATATGTGAAGACGAACAACAATTATGAAACAATGAACTTAACTATCAACTAATTAAAAATAATTAAGTACCTTAAAGAATGGGTAGAAGTTTGGGTTGGTCGATATCTCCAATGGAACATCAGTGAAGTCAGGTGGCTTGATAAAGACTGACCTCAGCTCCAATATCACATCACAAACTACATGGACATATCTACAGATTGTCTCACCGGAATGTTGGTAATCCTCCCCACAATCAAGATTTGACGCATTTTTCCCAACTGTTGTCAAAAATATCATTGCTTGTTCTTCAATATTCATGTGTCTGGTTACTCGCAGTTTGTCTCGTTGTGCCAATATATAACATAAGGTTTGAAAACATCTTTTGCTCATGCGACACTTATTGTAAATTCTTCTAGGATGACCATTTAGCAGTTCCACCATATAATCGTGACCATTTAATGAAGATGTATTTACAAGTTGGCGTGGTTGCATGCTAAACTCCATTTCATATGCAATAGCCCCACACAATGCTGTTGCAGTATATATATATATATAACTGTAGTTCCTCACTCTCATTATTTTGATTATGGTTTGTATGGCTAGACGACGCCATCTAAACCTGTCCATTGTAATAATTGCTTCCATTAGTTCATACTTTTTTAATACTAACCAAGATATAAATAACATTCAATTTTAAATATATGAATCATTGCACAACAATAGATGGTGTATCGGTTCTTAGAACAAAGCAAGTTTGTAATACGAAGAAAGTAAATATAAAATATCTCAGATGTCAACAGAATCAATAAAGACTAACAAGCGAAAACAAGTTCAACAAGGAAGTCCTAAACCATCATCTACGTACGACGGTTATCATTATAAACCCAAAATTCCCTGTTCGCATGTGACATGTTCACCATAAGCTGACGCCACTCTGGGTTGGCAATTAAGTACTTCACAGCATCCAAATATACTTGCGGTGGAAGTTGCATACTTTCCAAAATTGCCTGACAATTTTCCAGGGAATATCGATCCGTCCTAACACTCGTGTTCTCTTGGGTCCCATCACCGCCTCTGCGAGTTGATGCCGCAGATCCCATAGTCTTATTGGAAATAGCTTCCGCCAACTGAGTCATCACACCAAAAAATGGGTTTCCCTCCCCGTCTCTTCTTCTCCTCCTCCTATTTACGGATCTGCTATCTCCAGACCTATTAGATTGTTTTTCTCCTGTTGATCTATTTGGATCAGGATCGAAGTCATCTTGATTCATGTTTGCCTTGATAGGATCAGAAAAAACACATGGTGGATGCCACAGGTTTAGATGCATATGTGAAAGCAAATCTGCCAGTTGCATTTTGCTTCTGGAATATGACCTCATATAACTCTCTATCAACAAGTCCTTTATGTAAGAATTGCTGCACACCAGGGTTTTGCTGTTATTGAAAAACAAACATACATTAATTTATATTTTCCCAAAACAAAAAGTGCATACCGACTACTGCGTTATAAGAATTGGAAAAAAGAAAATGTTGTTTGCCTTTATATATTCTTCCCATATCTCTTTAGGACATGTTGGAGTTTGGGACTCGTGATCCCAACCAAACCCTATATGTTCTATTAGCATACGCCAAGACCTGTATGTCGATCACAAGCGTTGGTACTTAGAAGCCAACTGTTGCACTTCCAGTTTCTTCTGTGCTACATTTTGTAATTGTTCACTAATCCTCCTATGGTCAGAAGCTCTTATTGCAGTACCGTGGGTTGTTTTTACCTGCTCAGCCAATAGTTCTAAAAACCTATGGGTGAGTTCAACAGTCCATAGAACGGACTCACTCATCTAATAATAGTAGGGTGAGAACAACAATCATGATTGAAATATTGTAACAATTAGGATACATATCAATATGAACATATGCAACATATAAAAGTATAAACAAAACATACATAAAATATTACCTCGTTTGACCCAACACTGCTTTCAACGGAAAGTACGGGGGGCACGACGGTCAAGGTTGACCAACAAGGTCTTTTGTGTACCCCAATTCCGAATAAACATCGAACTGTCTTCTGGCATCGAAAGTAATGATCAATTCTGCGATGGTGGGCTGAGTGACATGTACATTNGGTTTTGCTGTTATTGAAAAACAAACATACACATTAATTTATATTTACCCAAAACAAAAAGTGCATACCGACTACTGCGTTATAAGAATTAGAAAAAAGAAAATATTATTTACCTTTATATATTCTTCCCATATCTCTTTAGGACATGTTGGAGTTTGGGACTCGTGATCCCAACCAAACCCCGTATGTCCTATTAGCATACGCCAAGACTTGTATGTTGATCGCAAGCGTTGGTACTTAGAAGCCAACTGTTGCACTTTCAATTTCTTCTGCGCTACATTTTGTAATTGTTCACTAATTCTCCTATGGTCAGAAGCTCTTATTGCAGTACCGTGGGTTGTTTTCACCCGCTCAGCCAACAGTTCTAAGAACCTATGGGTGAGTTCAGCAGTCCATTGAACGGACTCACTCATCTAATAATAGTAGGGTGAGAAGAACAATCATGATTGAAATATTGTAACAATTAGGATACATATCAATATAAACATATGCAACATATAACATTATAAACAAAACATACAGAAAATATTACCTCGTTTGACCCAACACTGCTTTCAACAGAAAGTACGGGGGGCACGATGGTCAAGGTAGACCAACAAGGTCTTTTGTGTACCCCAATTCTGAATAAACGTCAACCTGTCTTCTGGCATCGAAAGTATTGATCAATTCTGCGATGGTGGGCTGAGTGACATGTACATTTGTTCATGGCATTGTAAGTAACTATTGCGATGAACTTGCAGTTATCAACCTACAAAATGATTAATACATAAGTTAGACAAATCATCACCTCTTCAAACCATTGATTAGTTTGCTGGAATGAATAAGAAAATAGTGCATGATGGGGGTTGAATAGAGCTGAATCAAGCAATGGAAAACCTGCTCATCTATCCACTTGAGATTAACTGAATACTCTCTGTCCATTGTATAATTAAAATTAATAATTATTCAAATCAACTCCAATAAACAAAAATTACATTGAAAAACAATAATATTTGAGCATAAGTGTGAGTGATCTCATTCTGCGTTTAATCAAAATTTTGGTGAAACACACAAAGGAAGAACAATAAATTGGAAACTTGAAAAAAAATAAAAAAATAAAAAATAACAATGATGTAGACAAGAAAACAAAATAGTTTTTCCCTTTATAAGATATAATGCTTCCACAAAGGCGAAACACAGTCATGACTTAGTTGTACTTGACCAAAAAGGTTTACTGAATATGAATGATAATATTTTAGAGGAAGTGAACATAGGCCAATTGGTCAAATCAATGACGAGGTTATCTATATCACTAATTGACATCCTCCTAGTCACCAGATTAAATTTACAGTCTTAAAGGAAAAATAAAGTTTAATCTTTCAAAGTGATTATATGGATTATGGAAGAGAAATAAAAATTTTACAGAATAGAAGGTCAAACTAGACATCCTTTCAGTTCATAATAGGGTCAAACTCACCTTCTTCAAGTAGGTTTCTACATTGGACATCTTTGAAAGTAATGAACTCCAACAAATAATCCTAAAGGAGTTTAGGTTGATCACTTACTCAAATCTCATCTTTTTATAAATTTAACTCTGTATACAGAAATTTGGATTGAGCTGTCCTGCATACGACCATGTTACTGGATCATGCCCCCACTATCCATTCAATTATGCAATTTTCATTTACTTACAACTCATTCTATCTACAGTTCTTTCAATAGTAAATCCACCAATAGCTGGTGAATATCTTCTTTCACAACTCCTTCATATCCTCTTCAATTCAATCTCAAAATTCCAACACATTTTCCGCTCTCTCCCAAAACACCCTCATCAGCCACCATATCCACCATTTCATAACTATCTCCACAATAAATGCACTGCATTACAAGAAACACAGCCATTTCAAAATTTTTCTACATTCACATAAACCCTTTTTTACTTCTTCAATCTGCAAAATCCTTAATCCCATTTAGTCAAACTCAAGACAAAACTAGCCCCACCGAATCCATTAATCATAAGGAACCAAAAAACCAAAAATATTTATGATTTTTCACCAAGTAGGTGGTCCTAATGGGTCTAACTCCAAACTTGTGGTAGCTATCAGCTATGTCCACACACAGAACTAAACTACAACAAATTACTCAACTATCACAAACCATTCATAAATTCCCACATTACTCAAACCACCCATCAAAATTGAAACTTTGCAAACAAGTCCTCTCTGTCAAACCATATAACCACAATCACAAGACACATACATACACCAAAATTCCACCATATTCACAACACATTCTGCAAAATTAAACCCTACTCGTTTCCAGAAACACAAAAAACACAACTGGGTTTTAAGTTTCACTGCAAAAATCATACAATAAAAATTGCCATTTTTTTTTCAGTTTCATTTCATTAGGGTACAAAATAGTAATATGTAAAGCTTAGAAATTGAAAAAATAAAAATAAAAATAAAATTCTGAAAGTGGAAGGTACCAACAAATCAGTGATGCATTTGATTGAAAGTTGAAACTGAGAATTGTTCAAAGAGTAGCCCTAATTTGCGCAAGGTGGTGATGAGAGCCGTTTTATATATCCTGCGCATCTTTCTTACCCTACGCTTTCTCGCTCTCCAAACATCGCTCTTGATGACTCAGAGAATGACGTTGTAGAAGGATTAAAAACCAACAATCTGCTTTGGTGGAGAATAGTGGAGTAAATGAAGAGAATAAGGAAATGAAAAGCTTAGTAGCAGTTGGGCGAGAAGGAGGAAGAGTTGTATTTCAGTGTGCTTTGTGCTTCGTTGATGGACTGAGAGAGAGGAGAAGTCACGGGTGTATGTAGTAAATAAAAAGAAGAGAAGATGTTAGTTGTTGTTGGGAGAAATAATGGCGAAAAATTCACAATGGTCAAAAAAATACTGAGTAATATTGATGGATATCTGAACCAAACACAATTTTTACTGTACCCTTTATTGAGAAACTCATTGACAGTTTTTTAAAGACTGAACCAAACGAACCCTTTGTCTTCTCTTCGGGTGAGAAGTGTACCACAATTTGCATAGAAATAATTACTTCCCTTTCACTGATAAGTTTCGACTGCCTAAATAAGCAAAGCCACTTACACTAAAACTGAAATAAAAAGGAAACTACAAGCTAATAACTGAACTACTAATAACTGAACTACACCCCATGTAAAACAGAGCATGCAAACAAGCTAATAACTGAACTACCCCATGTAAAACAGAGCATGCAAGCCACGTTCTTCATGTCCCAGCTCATCCCAACGTCGTGGCCTATCAAGGCACCTCCTTTATCTCCAGCTAGATGAGAACAATTTACAACGTCCCACACCAGAGTCCTTTGCTCTTCTTTCTAAACTCCATACGTTAATCTTTCAGAAAACAATTTGACAGAAGCACTTCCACCTGCCTTCTTCCGCAACGGCACTTCATTAAGAAATGTAGACCTATCCCACACCTATTCACTGGAAAACTTCCACAAGAAATAGTCCATATCTATGGTCCCTCAATTTATCCAACAATCAGTTTGTAGGATAACTTCGTGCATCTTTGGTTAATACTTCAATATCTCATTTGAATATGGGGACAAATAATCTTTCTGGTGAGTTGCCTTCGGCCGATATCTTGGGGAAGCTTCCTTCACTTAAATATCTCGTATCATCATATAACAATATGATAAGTCATGACAACAACAGCAATCTCGAGCCCTTCTTCTCCGCCCTGGAAAATTGCACAAGCTAGCTAAGCTTGAGTTGGTTAGCATGGGCCTCGGAGGAAGATTGCCCAGTTCAGTCAGCCAACTTAAAATAAAGAAAATTTTACTGCAAGAAAACCAGATCAATGGATCAATTCCTCCGAGTATAGCGAATTTTACTAATCTATTGTCATTGAATTTGTCTTTTACTCTTCTTGTTGAAGTGAAGATTGAAACGAGGTCATTTTGGATATTAATGAAACGCTATGTTTTGATACTAAAATGTGTTGGATCCTTGTCGTTGATCCAACTCTAATCGGACGGCTGAGAAGCTTCACTGAGTCAATGATATAAAAGAGTAATGTATAGTCATTTTCAATTCACGCATTTTGTCTATTGAAGAACATTTCATTCTCGTTCTCTCTGTTAGGGTTTCAGTTGATTTGGGGAAATCTTTGTAACTTGAGTTGATTGGGTAATTTGTTACTCAATCAGGAGGGCTCTTTGCTCTTGTTCTTAGGGATTCCTGGTGAGTGTCTCTAGGATTAGTTACGGTAAGGATTTCTTGTAATCACTGAGAGTTTGATCGGGTTTGTAGTTGTTCTTCTTTGGATCTTGATCTAATAAGTAGTGCAGTGAGCTCTCCCATTTCTGGAGCTCAACATGGACGTAGCTTATCTAATTTGGATAAGTGAACCATGATAAATCTGTGTTATGGTTGTTCTTGATTTTCTTGTGGCTTGTGTGCTTGATTGGTTTGTGCATTTTAGTAATTTGTTACAACACTTCTGAATGGAAATATTCCAGTGGAGATTAGTTGGTTGTTGAAATTGGAAGAGCTTTCCTTATCACACAATCTATTCTCTGGAGAAATTCCAGCAATATTAGGTCAACTCTTGATGTAGCATGGGACAACATAGCAGCAAACAAGCAAGCATAAGACAACATAGCAGTAGACAAGCAACACCGAAGTAGCATGGGATAAGCAAAAACCAACAGATAAGCAACACTAACGTGGCAAGGGATAGCTTTTCTTAATTTTAATTTTATCATTATCATGTTCATTTAGATTTTGTTTCATTATCCAGCAGCTGGAGTTATTAAGTAGCTAGATTAAGACTATTTTTAATTTCTGTTATTATCAAGTAGTTATAGTCACGGTTATAGGTAGCCTAAAGAGCTATGTAATCAAGCATTCCTTATTTGAATAAGCATTGTTTTACTCTTTCTTCCATTCACGTTGGTGCTTGGAATAGTTTAAGGTTATTTTGCTAATGCAAATATCATGTTTGGCTGTTTTTGCTTCCAATGAATCTCTTCTGCTACGCCAACTCCCTAATCTGGGTTTGCTTGATCTATCATACATTAATTTTAGTGGTCCTATCCCAGAAGTATTGGAAATTTAGTTTGGTTGAATTATTTGTTTCTCGACAACATTTTGCTTTCAGGATCAATACTACAAACTTTAGGACAATGATAGATCTGTACAAGCTAGACTTATCCTACAACAAGTTGACTAGGAGACTTCCCCCACAAATTTTGGGTATTCATGCAATCAGAATATTTCTAAACCTATCCCATAATCATCTTGATAGCCATTGCCAATTGAGTTAGCAAACTGGAAAATTTTCAAGAGATAGACCTTTCATCAAACAAATTTACTAGAAATATCTTCACTTAGATATCAAGCTATATTGCATTGATGTTGTTAAATCCATCCCACAATTCTATCACAGGAGACCTTCCAGATTCTCTAGGTGATTTGAAAAACCTAGTATCACTCGATGTTTCAAAACACTACTTATCTGGTATGACCCCAACAAGCCTCAGCAAAATGTATACTCTTACCTTCATCAATCTTTCTTTCAACCAGTTTGAAGGTAGGAATCCCTCAGGTGGCATCTTTGATTCAGTAACAAATATGTCATTCTTAGGCAATCAAGGTCTCTGTGGCGTAGTTCCTAAGATGCTTACCTGCTCTCAAAAGCAGCATTGGTTTCATTCACATATGTATTTAATCATATTCATCTCAATCATCTACATATCAACACTCCTTATAGCAATATGTTGTAAGCTTAAGTTTGACCTCATCAAAATTTTGATCTCAGCAAAATCTAAAACAATAAAAAGGCAAAAGACACTAGAGTTGAAGCAAAATTTCCCAAGAATTACTTACAGAGAGCTGTCAAAGGCCACAAGGAGTTTGATGAGCAGACGCTAATTGGGATAGGCAGCTATGGACGTGTTTATAAGAGAAATCTTCCGGATGGAAGAGCAATAGCAGTCAAGGTTTTGAATTTGCAATCTGGAAACCCAACAAAGAGTTTTAACAGAGAATGTGAAGTTTTAAAGATGATCTGTGATAGAAATCTAATAAGGATTATAATTGCATGCAGTCTACCTAATTTGAAGGTAGTCGTTCTTCCTTATATGGAAAATAGAAGCTCAGATAGCCATGTTTATCCCGGGACAGTTAGAGGCAGTGGCAGACCCAAGATTTTTGCCCGAAGGGGCCTCCGCGGCTCCACCATTATGTGCCAAACAACTAGTGAAAACTTTAAAAAAAATCAGCAAAAACCACAGAAAACGAATCCACTAATGAAGGTTACAGATTCGGTCAAGAGGAAGAAACTTATAATATCATAGCTACTCTTGCTTATTTTGTCGATTGATATTTCAATATGCTAGTTTCAACAATTCTCATTCTTTACATTTCTTCCTAGCTGCTTGGCATGTAATAGGTCTACCCAATGCTAGATGTAGAGACGCATAATAGATCGATATGAATATCATGAGCTGTCTCTCAATAAAACCAGTTGCTGCTAATACCTTCGTCTCAGTTCCTTCTTGCATAACCCAAGCTCGGAGAAGGAAGAGATAAGAGGGCCCTATGGATAATGTGGTCAGAAATCCATAATAGAGGTGACCACAACAACCAAATTGATTATCTTCATGCATAAGGATACTAGATTACCTAGCATAAAAGATTAAAAAATCATTTCAAACCTCCCCTTTTTCTTTTCTATTTCAATTTCTGGATTATTATATGATGATTTTTCAACTTTTGATGATTTTTTAATTTTCCATATATAGAAACAGAAACAGATTGACTTGAAACTACATCTCTTATGTCAATGACACCAAAGCAATATTAAATGAATGGAATTGGGGTATGGATGAAATATAATGAAATAGAGCTGCTTTGAGGTTCCCTATGAAATGAGGCATGGAATGAAGCCACTACAAAGAAGTTCTGAGACTTACGTAGGAAACTTCGAGTTCATATGCGTCATAGGTTGAGAATAGGAATTGAACTCTATGAGATAGAATCTCACGCTATTCCTCAGTAGCTCAGTGGTAGAGCGGTCGGCTGTTAACTGACTGGTTGTAGGTTCGAATCCTACTTGGTTTGCTACGAGTTCATTTCTATACTAAAGTTAGATTCGAAGTTCTATTTCAAGAAGGGCTCAACACAGTTTTATACGTGTACTACCTGGAGATGGAACCAAAATAGTCAAAATTTAAGTAAGTCATTATGGTTCAAATGGAGGGTGTATAATTTATAGGCTCCACAACAAGGATTCAAATGATAGGCCGTTTTTCAACATTCCCTTCATAAGGATACAAGTCACTATTCACAAATAGTAAGAAATATATTTTATCCCAATAAGTGGATTCATAATTCAGAACTATGAAAATAAGGCCTTCGTTTGTAAAATTTGTGAAAAACGTCGACTGATTTGTAAGAGAGGACGCATTATAGTAATTTGTCATAAACAAAGACAAGGATAATCTTTCGAAAAGGGACTCTCTAAAGGAACTGATGAACAAATCAAAATAAAAGATTTATTTCGACATGAAATGGATATATCCATATATCTGACTTCAAAGGAAATAATACAATATCAAGAATCTGAAAGGAAATAATGCAATCACAATCCTTTCCTACTTGAATAAATATATGGGAAGCAAAACCTTGAGCAAATGTATTGAAAATAACATCCAATTCACAAGAAAATTTTTACGTGGAAAAATCTCTTCAATGTGAAGAGAGCAAAAAACCACGAGAATCTAATGATCTACTTAAATCC